GAGGAGGAGGAGGAGAATGGTTAGCAGAAGGGGCCAAAGACAGCAGTAAGCAGGCTGAAGGAACAGGCAAGGCAAGGCAAGGCAAGGCCTCTCCTCTTAAGCACTAGAATGGCCTTTGATGCCTGGCTCTATGTGACCCACACCCGAGCAATAATGGGGAGCAATACAAAAGTAAGCCACAAATGGGATTATGAAACAGAAGCAACCCCTCTTTAAAACGCTTGCCAGATCCAATTTAATGGCGTGCCTTAAACTGCTTTATAAATTGTCAACTGCCTAATTGCGTATGAGGAGTGAGAATCGTTTCTGGGCAGTCAACCTCCATAAAGGTTTTTATTAGCGGGGGGGGGGGTGTCTCCCCCCACCATTGTGGCCAGCTTACACACCAAAAATGGCTAACAATGATACACAGGAAAGTAACCTGAGGACACGTATGCCAAGCAAAAACAAAAAGTGAGCCATGAAACAGCTCTGACACAACCGCAGAAGCCCCGTCCCAAGCACGATTCGATCTGGAAGAAGGAAACCACAGCAAGGGTCTCCTTGGAGGGAGCTCCAGTGCTCCCTGCCAGGCCCTACTCTGGATCTCGACAGGAGCCTCCTGTCGCCCTCCACTGGCCAGAAAGCTCTGGGGAGTGGCAGAGTGCGCCCTACACTGCCCGTCTGGGGATCAGCTGAACACAGCAACTCACTTGAAAGCCTGAAGCGGAAAGCCTCCAGCCGCCGACTGATGCAGGCATGGATTGAGTTGCGTAGACCTGCATGACTTAACTAAGGCCCTTTCCCGCACTCTCCTTTTAATCCACGTTCACTGCGGTGTCCTCCAAACAATTTTGCACTAAAATTCTTTTTATTCCGGGTCCCCCCCCCCCTCCCTTGTGCATTACATCACCTCCCTTCAGTGGTCAGCCCAGTTTCAGCCTGCTGTTGCCCCCAGTTATTTGGATGCTGTTTTGCCCTGGACTTAAATTGCCTCGACTCAAACACGGAGAAAATCCAGAGTGGCAGGCAAATGCGGAAAAGACCTTATTCAAGTTGTAGGATTTGATTAGAATATCCATATCCCGCTGCTCTTTGTGGCTCAGCAGATTTCAAGTCACAATTAAAAGCGTCACAATTTAATGCCAACAAAATACAACCCCAGATAACCCTCCTCCTCAAAGACACCTGCAAGTTTATAAAAGGTAAAGGTCCCCTTGCTCGAAAGCCAGTCGAGTCCGACTCTAGGGTCGCGGTGCTCATCTCCGTTTCAAAGCCGAAGAGCCAGCGCTGTCCGAAGACGTTTCCGTGGTCATGTGGCCGACATGACTAAACACCAAGGTGCACGGAACGCTGTTACCTTCCCACCGAAGTGGTACCTATTGATCTACTTGCAATTTCTTGCTTTCGAACTGCTAGGTTTACACCCCATTAAAAGCCCTGGCGGTCTCTCCTGAAAATTTCTAAAGACAGATTCCCCTCACCACATCAGGGATCCCATTCCACAAAGGGGACAAAGCGCAGGCCCTGGTTATGCCCAGCAGGCTATGTTAAGTGGGAGGGAAGCCACTAGGAGACCGCCGGAGAAAAGCACTTCGAGCACCGGGACATACAGGAAGAGACAAGTCCTTTGGACGCATGGGTCACAGGCCGCATCCAGCTCCTCTTCATTTTATATTTTCAGGATGCAACCCCTGGTCCTCTAAAACACTTCTTAAAGCCATGATGATTCCAGAGACTGCACCTCCCCTTCTTTGTGGAATCTCGACCAAAACTCTGCCTACACACAACCAAAGGGACAACAGTCATTGGTGCTCAGCGGGCCTCTCAGTTTGCTCCCGCCCCCTTTACCTTTCGTCTGCTATTTCAGCAGCTCCCACTTTGACGTCTGCAGGACTCTTCTGCAATTTGTCATTCTCGAGGCGGCCATACAGATCTAAGATTTCCAGCTCAAACGCCTGCGTGATCCTTTTCTGCGCCTTGTACTGATTCTCCACTGCTTTGAGTTGGTCTCTGAAAGGGACAAGAAGAGGCGGCCTCTTGTCGATTTTCTTCGTCACATCCCCCACCCCACCCCCGGAGTCGGTATAAGAACTTCCCCTTCAGGAATAAAATCTCCCTCCAGACTTGCTCCTTTTACAGCACAGAAAATCTTAGGGACCACCATCACCTGCCGGAGTGAAGTAGGCAGTCTCCCCCACGGGATATGCACGGATGCCCAGGAGACGGGAAGCGTAAAGGGCTCAGATGGGAGAGCTGCCTTTATGGAGCCAAGATACAGGCTCATGCAGTGGGACAGCTCCTGACTGGCATATGCAGGCCGTGAACTGCTTGCAGCTTCCCTCCAAGAGGCCCCTTCTCTGCCCACTCAACAGTGACCACCCCACTCCATGACTTGCCCACTCCTCTTCAGTCTGCCACCCTTCCAAAACCTCATCCTCCCCCGTCCCCCCAGGTCTCCAAGCTCACCAACGTGAACAAAAGCAGACAGCCGCTGGCTTAAATCTTGGCAAACATAAACATCCCCAACCCTACCCGGCTTTATCTTTAACATCCTCCAGGTATTTCTTCTGCTCCAGTAAGAGATGGTCTCTCTTGGTGAGCTGAGATTCCAGTTCAGCTATCCGTTTCTGACAAGCATCCAGTTGCTGGTTCTGCTGCTGAACGTAACATTTGGCTTTCTCCAGATCTTTCCGAAAGGCTGCCTGCATGATCTCTACTTCCTGGAACGAGAGGGGGACACACAACGTTGGCCTTTACTGCACGGCCGTGCCTTCTCGGCGGTGGAGGCGATTACTCCTCCCACTTGCTCCGCAGGCAGGGCCGTGGAAATGGCATGAGCCTTTAGTCCAGCCAGTTACAGGACTTAGTGGGACAGTGGTGGCAGGAAAAAAAAACACTTAGAAAAAAAGGTTTTTTTGCAATATGGAGAAAACACCCATTAACAGTATCATCAACAGCTAGAAATGCATGATCTGGAACAGAAAGTGGAACACTACGTCTGGGGCAGGGATGCTCTGTATTCTGGGTGCTTGGGGGGCCACAGTGTGTGTGTGGGCTTCTGGAGCTCGGGCCCCGCTGGTGGACCTACTGATGGCCCCTGGGTTTGGGCCACTGTGTGACACAAGAGTATTGGACTGGGTGGGCCATTGGTATGATCCAGCAGGGCTTCTCTTTTTATTCTAATGATGAAGAGTAAAGATGACGGCCAATCCTAACTTTATGGGACGCTCTTAAATGCAGTACCCCAAGTGGGGCTGTATTCTCCCTCGCCCTCTAATGTCAACCCTTCACAGTAAGTCAGCTGAGGGGAAGGCAAGACCCAGGCTGGGATGCTTAAGAGCCGTGTCCACACCCTGGGATGGCTGAACTGCTGTAGAGATTGGGGGGGGGGAGAGTACTTGCTGGAGTGTCCTTCACCTGAAAACTGCTTACTTGTCTGATTTATCATTCACATCAAATCTCTCTGCCTCAGCTCCTTTCCTCCTCTTCTATAATGTTCCCAGTGGGAATTGCCAAAATGATCTCCTTTCCACGTACCTAAAGAAGACAGCTCTAACTCCCTACAGCTCCCATGGAGTGTTAATCTTTCAACTGCCACCAAATTTTGATCTGACGTATAATGGTCAACAAAGGTGGGAAGGGAAGTTCCCATCAACACCAAGAACCAGTTTGGTGTCATGGTTAGGAGTGCAGACTCTAATTGGGGAGAACCGGGTTTGATTCCCCACTCCTCCACATGCAGCTGCTGGTGTGACCTTGGGTCAGTCACAAGTTCTCTCAGAGCTGTTCTCTCACAAGCAGTTCTTGAAAGAGCTCTCTCAGCCCCACCGACCCCACAGGGTGTTTGTTGTGGGGAGGGGACAGGAAAGGAGATTGTAAGCCACTCTGAGACTCCTTAGGGTAGTGAAGGGTGGAGTATAAATCCAACCTCCTCCTCTATCTCTTCCAACGGTGCCTGATTTTTGATGCTGAGGTAGCAGCAACTGCTCTTGCAGTGCCGCTGATTAGGACAGCAGGGGACTGTCAACACATCACATCGGTAACTTCCGCTCTCATTTGCAAGAGATGTGAGCTAGGAACAGGCTGTATGGATTAAACTTAGCTGGCACTGCCGTCTTCTCCACAATTTTTGCCCCAAAGGAAGGAATTCTATACATTTAACATAGAGGAGAACCCAGTGTTGCCCCTCCTCAAGACAAGAATGCTACTGCAGGTGCTGCAGTGCACCCTGTGGGAGATTTGGTGGGGAGGTGAAAGAGTAGCAGAAAGGCCACAACCAATACACATAGTATTGGACATTGACCAGGAGAAATTAGGCCAGTCACTCGTCCTCTCAGCCTGAGCTACCTCTCAGGGTTGCTGTGAGGATCAGCTGGAAGAGATGAGAGGCAAATACACTATTTTGAGCTCCTTAGAGGAACAGGGTAGGGGAAAGAGGGTGAATGATGCCCGAGGCCATTCTGCAAGCTGGGTGGTGGAGGAGTGACTACAGCCTGCGCCTGTCTGCATCTGTACTTTCCTTTCCTTTTATCCCTCTAGAAGTTCATTGATTCACACATCTTGAGAAGCAGAAGATACTTGCTTCTTATTTTTTTATGCAAGGGCTAAAAGGAGTGAGACAAATTTCGAGGTCGCTAGAGTAAACTTAGGATCCTAGTTGCTGAGCAAAAGAGCCAGGGTCTCCCAAAGTGCGGGGGGACAGTTGGTTGATTAAAGGATTAATATAGTGATCCCTTATATTCTCAAAGAACCTGCATTCCAGCAGGGTATGGAAGGATGTATCTATCCTATTAAGGCCACAAGGGCAGATTCCGTCAGAACAGGGCCTATTCAAAAATCTCCCCTGTAAAATCATGTTAGGAATAATATTTAATCCTGCAAACAAAAAAAACTCTACTGTAACACGGGATGGTAAGATAGTGATATTGGGGGGTGGTGGTGGTAAAAGATCTTGGGGAAGAAAGACCAAAAGATGGGCATGAGCAAACTCTGCAGGCTCTCAGGATCAGACTACTATAATCGATTTCTAGGACATGCTTTTTCCCCCATCAGAACTGTACCTGTATTTGTACCAGAACTGTTTTTATTAAATATCATTCCAGAGAACTTTAAGAAACCAGATGCATATATGATTACACATGTAGTAACCAGTGTTCCCTCTCAGCTGAGTTAGTGTGAGCTAGCTCACAGTTTTTTAGCCTCCGGCTCACACATTTTTGTCTTAGCTCGGGAAGGACGGCTCCAGAGCAAACTGATCTGTGCAGTAGCCAAATCGCTCGCTGGCAAATTTAATGCCGGTAGCTCACAAAGGAGAATTTTGGCTCACAAGACTCCGCAGCTTAGAAGGAACATTGGTAGTAACTATGGCTAGGATTTTGTATGCAAAATGTTGGAAAAAAGAAGAAGTCCCATCCAAAGAAGAAATAATCTATAAACTATTGGAAACAGCGGAAATGGACAAATGAACTTTACAATTACAAGATAAAAAAGACGTTTTTGAGAAGAATTAGTCAAGACTCTATAAACTGTCCCCCAAGCTGCGCGGGAGCGCTGCGGCTTGGGTGAGGCCCAGACAGCTTTGCCCGGGTCCCCCGAGCCGCGCGGGAACACTGCGGCTCAGGCGAGGCCCAGAGAGCCTCGCACTCGGGTCCCCCGAGCCGCGCTTGGGGGATGGGAGAGCCCGTCGCCACGTCCCCCAGCCCACCAGGAATGCTGCTGCTCACGGGACCCCTGGAGAGCCTCACCGCTGGCTTCCCCGACCCCCGCCGAAGCGGTAAGTAAGCGATCCGCGGGGTTGGGGTGGCAGGGGCTTGATGGGGGTAGTGGGAGAGCCTCCCTCCCTCCATCTCTTTGCCATCTTTCCCTCCTTTTTCTTTCTCTCCTTTCTTTTCTTTCCCTTTTCTTCCTTCCTCTCTTTTCCTCCTTTCCTTCTTCCCCTCTTTCTTTCTTTCTTGCCTTCTTCTCTTTTTTCCTCCTTTCCCTGTTTCCCTCCTTCTTCCCTTCTCTTTCTTGCCCTCCTTTTCCTTCTGTTTCTTTCCCTCTTTCCTCCCTTATTTCCTTCTCTCCACTCTCTCTCTTTCCTTCTGTCTTTCCTCCTGTGGCCCAACTCTAGTGAGAAGGGGTTTAAAGTTTAAACCCCTTCTCTCTTCACTCCCCCCTCCCCCCCTTTTGCTTCCCCTTCTGCCATCACTTCTGGTGATGTCAGGGGGCGTGGCATATGCTAATAGCCCAGTAGCTCATTAGCATATGCTAATGAGCTCCTGCAGCTCTTTTTCTACGAAAAGACCCCTGCTTAAAACACAAACTTTATTTATTAAATGGTTAAAATGATCTAGGTGCATAACAGGTGATTCTATGTATGCAAAATTTAAGTAGTTATGAGTACAGACTCCATATTTGTTATATGTCAGTCTTTCTTTGTAGTTGTTGTCTTCTTTTCCTTCACTTTTGAAAAACTAATAAAATTATTTTTGCAAAGAACTGTGTCTGTACTACAGCTGCTTTGCTACAGGGCTTGCTGAGTGACCTTGGGTGAGTCCCTGCCTCCCACTAGCCTACTCCACAGAGCTGTCCAGAGGATAATGTGAGGGGAAAGGGACATACATGCAAGCCACCCACATGAGTTATCCTTGGAAGAAAGGAAGATTTCTTTTGTTATTGATACTGAAGCAGCTACATGTGATAAACGGATTCCCGCAGGACAGCTACACAGCAACATAACCACCCAACGCAAGAACAAAGCTTGCGGTCTCCTGGAGCGCACCAACACACAGATCACGGGATAAGGTTTTTGCAGATGAGTTTGTGATTCAGATGCGTAAAGCAGACTAGTGTGCCAAGAACTGTGGCCTTTTTCTGGGAGTTTAAAAGAGTAAGCAAGCATGTATCGATACCCACACACCCACCAGACGGAGTCCCCAAAACCCACAGGTGGGTCCAGACAAAGCAAGGTTTAGCAAGAAAACTCATCACAGACACTTCTGGTTCAAGGAGACGACCCTGAAGGTAAGAAGAACCATCATTATCATAATGCCTTGTGTGTAGTATAGCCAGGAGATCCTAAGGTGGTGAGCTAGACTTGTTTTGTTAGGCAAGAGAATTTTCAGAGGTGGTTTGCTATTGCCTGCCCCTGTGTATTCCTTGGAGGTCGCCCTTCCAAATACTAGCCATGGCCAACCCTGCTTAGCTTCTGAGATCTGATAAGATCAGGCTAGCTTGGGCTATCCAGGTCAGGGCCTTGAAGGTACATCATGCAGACACTCTGGTGAAGCTAAACTGGCCTGAATTCGGTCACTGCTCGGCCAAGAGCACTCCTGGAAAACAGTCCGGAATCTAGGTGGGAAGGTAGATGTCACAAGCCTAAGCCACAGTTTATGGCCTGATGGAAGTGAGCACCACATCAAACAATGAGTTCCAGCCTGCTGTGTACTCATCCCTGCCAAGCACCCTTTTCGCTTGAGGGTTGTGGTTCTGTGAACATCCTGGGAGACTGAAATGCTCACCTGTCAAGCAGGTGAAAGCCACCTATGTGTTGCAGAGGTACGCACCTTGGGCGTGTCGGCATGCTTGTGCTGTAGCTGCTCCAAATACAACTCGTTGACCTCCCCAAGGACCAGAAGTTGCCTGTTCAGGAACTCCATCTGCTGTTGGACCGACTCGCTGTTAGAAAGCTTTTAAAAAAGGAAAAAACACAGTGACACAGACACATCTCTTAACACAGACAGTATTTACTGAAATGCAAGACTAGGGTCCCCCCCGGTATGCCCCCCCCCAATAAGAGGGAGTTTTACATTCACATCCAAATTATAGTTACGTCCAGTAACATTTTCCTTGTGTACACAACTGTTGTCAGGGACAGAGATGGGCACAAACGGGCTCACCAACGAAAGTTTGTGACTACTTTTAGGTGGTTCACGGTTCACGATGTTCACAAACTTTAGAGCCACCACAAACTTCCACGAATTTTCAGGCAGTTCGCGAAGAGCAGAAAGCAAGGGTTTAAATGGCTCTGAGCCATTTAACGCCTGGCCTTCTGCTCCCGGCTGCTTTTCGCAGAGAAATCCCTTCTTTTTGCTCCCTGCCGAAAACAGCAGGGGGCATGAACTGATATGAACCAACCTCCTAATTTGTATCGGTCTGTGGTTTGGCCCTAGGCAGGAAGGTTATCTTCTTTTGAGTACGTGCAATATCTAGAGTTTTCTTTTGCTGCGGGCAGATCAAGTCCAGTGTTCTGTAATTTAAGTAGTACTTTGCAAATACAGGCTCAGTCTGGATTTGCAGAATTATGGGTTATCAAAAGGGGGCAGAGGTCTGTGAAGAAGAGAATGGCAGCCATGCCAGGACCAGCAACTTTGTTGGTCTGAAAGGTGCCACTGGACTCTACATTTGTGCTTCACGTTCATACTGTTGTACTATGGGCCAAAGACCTTTGCACACAGCAATTCCATGCACTTTACACATCTCCTAATCAAACAGGGTAGGTAGCAAACCATCAAAATGTCAGAAAACAAAAATGCTAAAAAAAAAGAAAAGAAAGATGAGACAGACATAGGACATTTCATCAGTTTATAGCAGGGTGACTGATGCATGCTCACACAAACACAACCACAGAAGCCCTAACAACTTGAGATATTTTTCCAAACCAAAATTAAAGTATTCAGGATTCCAGGACTCTACAAAATGTGTATTTATTGACTTTATTTATAGCCTGCCTTTCCCACTGAGACTCAAGGCAGAATGAAGTGCATAAGAACAGGCCTCTTTCAATACTTGCATTATTTGAGGAAAACAGAGTATGTGAGAAACACGATGCTAAGAGCTATATGAGTCAATACTACTGTACCAAGGGTGCACTCCAAAGAGTATTTATTTGCAGGCAAGTAGCACTGAAATCAAAGGGGTCTAGTTCCAAAAAGGAGTCTTCACATGGGAGTAAGCAATGAATAGACTCCAACTGCCTTGGTTAGTCTGCACTTTAACACATGCTGAATAATACCCTTTAAATCCACTTTTGCAACTGTTTGCAAGTGGTTTTCCTGTTCCACATAGAAAAATGCAGTTGCAAAGTGGATTGAAAGTGGAATGAATGTGCATTACTGAGCATGCGTGAAAGCACCCTTACCTCATAAACAAGCTATCCTTAAAAGGGTCTGGGGAAAAATCAGCTTGTCCCTTTTACAAGCTGCCTTTCTTTGGACAGCTCTCTGTTTGACAAGGAAAGCGAACAAGTCACAGAAGGCACCCCCCCACACACCACCACCAACACTACTAGCCAGTCATAGTTGCTCTATTTAGTTTAGTTCCACTGAAGATTTGCTTTTGACACACAATGTCTACTGCCAGGGTAGAGCACCAGGGGTCATAGTGGAGAGCTCAATGAAAGTTCCAACCCAGCGTGCTGCAGTGGTGAAAAAGGCAAACTCTATGTTAGGGATTATTAGGGGAGGAACTGAAAATAAAACGTAATGCCCCTGTGTAGTTCTAGGGTGAGGCCTCATTTGGAATACTGTATACAGTTCTGGTCACTGTTATCTCAAAAAGGGACATTGCAGAGCTGGAAAAAGTACAGAGGAGGGCGACCAAGACGATTAGGGAGTTGGAGTCCCTTCCCTATGAAGAAAGGCTGAAGAGTCTGGGACTTTTCAGTTTAGAAAAGGGACAACTAGGGGGGGGGGCATGATAGAGGTTTATAGAATTATGCATGGGGTGGACACAGAGAACTTTTTCTCCCTCTCCCAAAATACTAGGACTCGAGGGAGCCGGCTTTGCTGGGAGGGCGGGGTAAAAATCTAATGAAATAAACAAATAAGCTGATGAGCAGTAGGCTCAGGACGGACAGAAGGAAATACTACTACACACAGAGAGTGATTAAAATGTGGAATTCACTGCCACAAGATGTAGTGACGGCCACAGGAATAAACAGCTTGCAAAAGGGGATTAGATAAATTCATGGAGGATAAGACTATCAGGGGCTACCAGCCCTGGTGACTGAGGGGGAACCTCCACATTCAGAGGCACTAATCCTCTGAATCCAAGAGCCAGGAGGCAACACCAGGGGAAGGCCTCGGCCTGGATGCTGGCTGTGCAGAAGAACTGGTTGGCCACTGTGTGAGACAGGATACTGGACTAGATGGACTAGCGCCCCCCCCCCCCCAATCCCCTTCTCTGAACGCAAAAGCAATGGCTCACACACAAAGAGCTCTCTCCCAGCAGGTCCTTTCTGCAGGCAGCTTTCCGTGTCAAGCCGCAAAGCTCCAGGGGAACAGCAGCATCCAGACTGACAAGACCACTGGGGTGGGGCCTCTTTCACTACCACAGCGTTATGCATGTGCCCGCCCATCCACCCACAGTAGCAAAACAAAGCAAAAACCTCGAGAAAGAAGAACATGAAACACACACGACTGACTACATTCCCACTTTAGGTCCTTCCACTTCTCTACAAAACCAGAGCAGGGCGAATGAGCCAGGACTTCAGCTCTCGTACCTTTTGAGAAACCTGGCTCAACAGCAGCTCCGTGTGGCACACCTTGTTGTTGGCCTTCTTCAACTCTATCCGCAGGTCGGCAACCACGGTGCAGCAGTCCTCCAGCTTAGTCTACGGAAAAGGCCACGGAGCATTAAGTCTTCGGACCCACTCAAAGGAGGCACTTGGAACCCGGCACTGTCCAGGTCCAGATACCTGCTACGACTCTTCACAAAAACTCCAGAACAGGCAGCCCCCACCCCTTCCCACCTTCACCAGAAGACACAGTCGCAACCACCACTCATCTGCCTTATTCCCTATGAGGTCTGGGAGGCCTGAGAAACAACCCTCGTATTCCAGTCATTCTGCCGTGCCCTTGCACAAAAGGAACCCTTCTCTTGTGGCTTTCGGGTGGGTGGGGGTTTTTTTTAAAGCAGGAAACCCCCAAGAAATCATCAGCCGCAGACCTGCAGTTCCTGGCTCTGGTTGTAAAACTCCTCCCGGTCGTGCTGCAGCTGGCGGATCTGGCTGTGGAGGCGGGCTACAACGCTGTCGTGCTCTTCTTGGAACTGGCGGTATCTGCCCTGCTCCTTCTGCAGACTGACCTTCAAGGACTGGATGTCCTTCTCCTGGAGCCGCAGCTGGTCTTTCTGTCCGGAAGCACAGATCGCAGGTCAGACAGAGCCCACGCTCCAGAGTGCCAGATCTTTTGCACACACAAAGCCTTCTCTCAAGCCCCAAACTGAAAAGCAGGCTGGCCCAGGTTATCCTCCGGCCAAGGGGCCACCAAGGTTAAAAACATCCCCCCCCCCCAATTTCCGGATTCTGATATTTCTGATCCCCAAAACATTTGAATCGGGAATTGTGCCGGGGAGGAAGAAAGAGCAGAGGAGAAAAGGAGGCCAGGTCTTCTGCCTGTAGAAAGGGCCCTTTCAGCTTTCAAGGGTGGATGCATAATAGACCGGTGGGGGCCTGCTTTCCCTCCCCTCCCTGTTTCCACAGAGTAGGGTGGAGACTCGCAGTGTTCCCTCTAAGCTGAGTTAGTGTGAGCTAGCTCACAATTTTTTAGCCTCCAGCTCACAGATTTTTGCCTTCGCTCAGGAAGGAGGGCTCCAGAGCAAACTGATTGATACAGTAGCCAAATCGCTTGCTCACAACTTTAAACCCAGTAACTCACAAAGCAGAATTTTTGCTCACAAGTCTCCACAGCTTAGAGGGAACATTGGTGGAGAGGCACTTCAAAAATTATTGATTTCCTTCAGATTGGGCGTGATCACCCTTTTCAGTAAACCGGGAGTACTGCCCGAGTGTTTATTACAATAGATGTTTTCCCCAACGTGGCTTTCTGGAACAATAATATTCCCATTGGGCAAGCCCTGATGAGAAGAGCCAGGCAATTAAACCTACTCCCCTGGATGCTTCACCTTTCGTAACCTGAACTACTCTTGTTCTAAAGAAGTGTGCGTGCATACAAAAGATTATACCCAGAACCAGGGCTCTTTTTTTCCTTTTTTTTTTTTGAAAAAGAGGTGCCGGAACTCTCAAGAGGGAAATCACGAACTTCTAAATGTTTTAAAAAGAATTTTGTTGAAGAGGTTCTGGAACTCCATTCCAGCGCATTCCCCCAGAAAAAAAGCCCTGTCCAGAATTGTCCAGGACGGCAAAGGATGAGATGGTTAGACAGTGTCATAGATGCAACGAACATGAAGTTGAACAAACTTCAGAGGACGGCGGAAGACCGGAAGGCCTGGCGTGATCTGGTCCATGGGGTCGCGAAGAGTCGGACTCGACTGTGCGACTGAACAACAACAACAACCAGAACTAAAAATTGTTGGACTCAAAATTCATTCGGTTGCTTCAGATCAACACGGCTACCCACCCTAATCTACTTTTGTTCCGTTTCCGAACTCTGAACGTGTGCAGCCAACCCTTCTGCAGTATTTACACTGAGAACACATCCGGCAGAAGAGCTGTGCTTTAAACGGCGTAGAATTATGACAGCACGGCCATTCTGCCTCGGAAATGCTCAAGACCAGAAAAGACATGCAAGCGGGACCCGTTCTCCTGGCCGCCTCCCCCCCACTGTCACCAACTCCTGGTTCTGAGCGAATGAAGATTACGCTAGGGTGCTGCTTCCCACGTGATGTGGCAAGAGGCAGACCAAGCACAGCAACATGAGCGTGGGAAAGCCTGGATTACTCTTTGAGAAGAGACTCAGGCCTCAGTTCCCTCTGCAACCCCAAGGACTAGCTTCCCTTTTCCCAGTTCAAGCCAGAAGTGTCTTATGATGCCAAGCTTGCAGGTTACACCAGACAGCCACACAGAAACAATTCACCAATGTCAAACTTCCACAACTTCCACGTGCAAAACGTCCAGAAAGGGTTTTCGAAGCCTGATCCCCGAGTGACAGAAGGCTTCCAGGAGACCTGGAAAGAACGCGACACGTGGGGATTTCCGGCCCAGGGCTGTCGGAGACCCCTCCCTGGCCCCTGCTCACCATAGCCGCGTTGTGCTCCTCCAGGGCCGCTGCTTTGATCACCTTCCGCAGGAGCCGCCGGTTCCGGAGTGCATGCTGCTGCCTTTTGAAGCGCTCATACAGCAGCTGGTTGTGGAGCAAGAGCAGCTGGTTCCGCAGGGTGTGGATCTCATCTGAAGGGGGAGAACCTGCAGAGCCCACAGGGGAGGGAACGAGGGGGGTGAGGCTAGCAGACAACCACAGAGGCCCTTTGGGGCTGTCGAAGGGAAAGAAAAGAGGCCCTTCAGCTGGAAGCGGCACCCGCCAAAGTGAAAACACACCATTTTGAAGCTGGAAATGGCATTCAAAAATTCACACACACAATTTTATGTGGCGTCCAAGTGCTTTACACTTGTTGGCACCCCCCTTTTTTATTTTGGAAGGGAGAAAATATGAAGCCTCATTTGCCAGGCAGATACTAAATACCAACGCAGTGCAGAGGAGCAATAAAATAGCCCTTTCAGGATCTAAAGTAGCTTAGAGACAGCCAGGAAAAGTATATTCAGACAAGGATTAACACAGAGCCCCGAAAAGCCTGTTTACCTCCAAAGTGAGTCCAGTCAGCTGATTTGCTTGGCAAGGGTAATCTGGAAAGGAGAACAAAATGCCGCTTTATTCTGGGCTGCAGTGAATTTGCTGAGTGTTACATAAATGTGGTAAAGGATTTAGAAATCATTTAGACTTTTGGCAAGGAGGCGACCGCAAGAGGAGAAACACAGGCAGGGATGTTTTCCCAAGCACCTCTGCAGCCATCGGGGCCAGAAACTTGGATTTGGTTTAACAGGCGTATTAATGAGATTACAAGTGCTGTGCTGGAACTATTCTACCTGGGCCACAAGCGCAAACGAGCTGTGCACGAACAGCTCCAATCAGCCAGTAGAAAGAACAGAGAGAAACACGATCACATTAGGCCGCCCCACTTCAGAATCCCGGTGGGGAGGAACGGCTGCTGCTGGAATAGCCAGAAGGGACTTGCCTGCACATTCAGATGACACATTTCAGGGAGAAGACTAGGCTGAACTACAACTCTTCTCCTTGACTTCCTAGTTTGGTTATGTGCTGAGCACTGCTATGCACAGGAGCCTTCCCAAAATCCATCCCACCCCGTGCAGACTGAAGCTGCATAACTGCATGTGTTTCGAGCACACTGCCGTGAAAAGCAGGTTGCTTACCAGTAACTGGTGATCTTCGAGTGGTCATCTGCATTCGCACCAATGAGATCCAGCGCGTGTACACTGAAGCCCATTGGTGTGAAGCACAGAGACCACGACGAAGATAAGCAGGTTGCTTACCAGTAACTGGTGATCTTCGGGTGGTCATCTGTGCATTCACACCAATGGGATTCAGCGCGCACGCGCTGGATCGATCCAGCGCATGCGCACTGAATCCCATTGGTGTGAAGCACAGAGACCACGACGAAGATAAGCAGGTTGCTTACCAGTAACTGGTGATCTTCGAGTGGTCATCTGTGCATTCACACCAATGGGATTCAGTGCGCACGCGCTGGATCGATCCAGCGCATGCACACTGAATCCATTGGTGTGAAGCACAGAGACCACGACGAAGATAAGCAGGTTGCTTACCAGTAACTGGTGATCTTCGGGTGGTCATCTGTGCATTCACACCAATGGGATTCAGTGCGCACGCGCTGGATCGATCCAGCGCATGCGCACTGAATCCATTGGTGTGAAGCACAGAGACCACGACGAAGACAGTAAAACCCAGCACTGGAGAGGGGGTGTGGCTCAGTGGTACAGCACCTGCTTGGCACACAGAAGGTCCCAGGTGCAATCCCCCAGCACCTCCAGTCAAAAAGTCTGGGTTGTAGGTGATGGGCAAGACCTCTGCCTGAGACCCCGGAGAGCCGCTGCCAGTCAAGACTGACCCTGACAGACCAACAGCCTGATTCTGTATAAGGCAGTGTCGCTGACTGCCCCCACCCCGAGCTGCCCTAGCCCCATTCCTCAAACCGAACCAAGTACGCAAGGCAAGCACAAGAAAAGCACAGGCGTGAGGTCACGTCAGGCAACCCAGTCCTCGCCTTAGGAAGCCACGTGGAAAGGCAGACGGAGGCCCTGCTGCCTGCGGACCCGTGCAAGCGGAACCCCCCCCCCACTCACTTGTTAAGCTCTTTGCTGTGGGCATCTGCTCCGTGCTGTATGAGCCTGTCCAGCACTTCCATTGGGGAGGCGGAGGGAGCCCCGTCTTCGTCTTGGACCCCCTTGGCTCTCTTCAGCAGTTCTCCTGTCTTTCTGCTGACAAAGAGGCAGGCCGTCTTTGGCAAAGCCACCTCGAAGAGGTGCTCGTAATGGGGAGACGGCTCGTTCCCCAACCCTGCTCTCCTGCGGGCCGGGATCTTGTAAGGGCTGGGGGTGAATATACTCGTCTCTGCAGAGGCCTGGCTTCCCCTGTTACCAGCAGGATGGTCTTCAGAGTCTCGGCAGGGCCGGTCGATGGGCGTGAAGGCTTGCCTAGGCGTCTCCCTCGCGTTCTCGGTCCCAGGTTGGTCCAGACAAGGCGTCGCGGGATCAGAGTTCAGGATCGGCCCCTGCGCATTTGAGGCTGCCGACTGGGATTTCTTCTGGGAGCCGGACAGACTCTCGTTGAAATGGTAAAAAGGAGAGTCAAACCCGCCCCGAGGCACCACGGGCTCAGCCTCTGCTGTGGTGATCTCGGAGATCTCTTTCGATATTGCATCTGTGGGGAGGAAGTCAAGAGAGGAGACTCAGTCTCTACTGTGGCTCTCTTGCCACGAGAACTAGAAAACCTGCCTAAGAAAAACGAAGGAAACCAAGAGTCCGAGGTAGCTGAATTCTGTGTTCCAGGCTGCAGTCCCACAGAATCACAGCATCGATGGCTGATGCGGTAACGGCAAAGGTGGCAGCCCTCACCTCCCACTGGGAGGAAAGATGGTGCCGTGGTTCTCGCGAGCTGCTCCCACCCTTGGAACAGAACAAAACCCACTCCCACCAGCTCTTCAGCTTTGACTTCGAGCCTTCGCAGGTCAGATCACTACCTTCCTCTTTGTCCTCAACGCTGTCTTCTAAGTCGGCCAAGTCCCCTAAGAAGCCAGGAAGATCACTTAAAGTTACAGAACTTTTACTACCGTGGGAGTCTGTGGGGAGAAAAGGGAGAGAAAAAACCACGACGAGTTAGGCTTAACCACCAACACGAAGACTGTGGCACCGGCTCTTTGTTGCAATGCAAAGGCCAAGCCCCCCCCCCCCGAAGACTCTCTTCTCTAAGGACTCATTAATTCTCAATTCTGTTGAATCAGGAGCTTGGCAAAGAATAAAAGAACTAGTGGAAGAAATCCAGTTTCTGGTGGAGTGCCCTCTGGAAGGAGCCACCGAGGCTCCAAAAAGTAGCTCAGCGTGCTGACTCAGAGCTGCCACCGCTTGTGGCCAGTGCAGACTCATACGCCCGAACCTCCCAGCTCGACCTAAAGCACTAGAAGCAAGCAAGACTCTTACTTGGCCACCCATCTTCTCTCCTCTCTTTTGCACGTGTGGCTGCCATTTCAGGGAGGGAAGAATGTCCGCATCAGCCTTACCTGTAATTAATGCTAAGCCAGGTTCTTTCTTGATCAAGGCTCGTTAATCTGCCTGAAGTCCTAGTCCAGGGCAGCGTTCCCTCTAAGCTGAGTTAGTGTGAGCTAGCTCACCGTTTTTTAGCCTCCGGCTCACACGTTTTCGCCTTAGCTCAGGAAGGGATGGCTCCGGAGCAAACTAATTTCTGCAGTAGCCAAATGGCTCGCTCACAACTTGAATGCCGGTAGCTCGCAAAGTAGGATTTTTACACACAAGACGCCACAGCTTAGAGGGAGCGTTGGTCCAGGGGTTCCCAACCTTTCTGAGCCTGCTGGCGCCGTTAGACTTCTGACACGGCATGGTGGGTCCAGCCACAAAATGGCTGCCGCAGAAGGCAGAGCCAGCCACAAAATGGCAGCTGCAGCTTACCTTGACAGTGAAGACTAGGGCTGCCAGCTCCAGGCTGGAAAATACCTGGATGTTTTTTTTGGGGGGGGGAGCCTGAGGAGGGCGGGGTTTGGGGAGGGGAGGGACCCCAGCAGGGTATAATGCCATACGGTCCACCTCCCAAAGTGGCCATTTTCTCCAGGAGCACTGATGTCTGTTGCCTGAGGGTCCTTTGCAATTCCCGGGAGATATCCAGCCACCACCTGGAGGTTGGCAACCCTAGTGAAGACCTTTGCGCTGTGATGGCAGCTTTCTAAAAACACTGGGTGGGCCCCGGGAAAGGGGTCGGCGAGTGCCATGATGCCCACGGGCACCACATCAGGGACCACTGTCCCAATCAGTAACCTGGTTAACAACAGCTATGGTTAAAGGCATGACAAATGGAAACTGGAGGGAGAGAGCACACAACTTAAGAGAGCACACAACTAAGAGAGCACACAACTAAGAGGTGGACCGTGGTGCAGATGAAGATGCTCTGAGACGCCTGCTGAACTTCTAGGGCACTGAGACTACACGGTGTCTTGCAGACCGGCACGGCTACATTTGCAGACTCTTCCTCAACACCCCCCCGCCCCATTTCATTTAGAATGCCACTATTCAAATCCCTCAGACAGATCAGGTAGCTGGAATACATTCTAGTCCAGGGGTGTCAAACATAAGGCCCGGGGGCCAGACCAGGCCCATCCAGGGCTCTTGCCCGGCCTGCAAGCGAGTGGTAGTATGGAAATGTAAGGTACTCCCCCTTTTATGGTATCCCTTGGGAAAAAAAACTAGTCTTGCATATGATCAAATACATTTATTAGGGCTTTTGTGGGCTCCCCAGTAATTCAACTGCTTTCACTGCTAGGAATCAATTGCTTTTGTTTGTATTTTGAGTACAAAATAATACTGTTAATTGGAGTTGACTGTGTCCTTTACAAAGTTTATATCTCCGGTACCCGACAGTGACATTTATGTCAGACCCAGCCCTCGTACCAAATGAGTTTGACACTTCTGTTCTAGTCGACTGGACTTTCAAGCTTGGGGCACAGAGCCTCCCAGCTGTCTGCGGCTTCTTTCCCCAGCCAAACTCGGATGCAGAAACGGCCTCGGCTAGGCCAAAAGTGTTGGAGGGGGCCAGGCTACAAGGAGGGGTCTGCGCTCCTCAGTCATATGCCCCTTTTGCAGCAGAAAAGCAACCCACCCACCCAGTCCCACCACCACCACATCTGACTGGTCCTAACTGGGAAGCGGAAGACCACAGCATCTCTTCCCAGTCAAGTTTATTAAGAGGAAAGAAACAAGAATGAAGAATACCTAAAGCCTTCATGTGGTTGATGACAATGTTTTGCTGTCGGGGCAAGGAAGGCCTCCAGTGATCCAGTTTATCCTCCTAGGAGAGAGGGAAGATCCTATGCAGCAGGCACATCAATTACAATACGACCCCCGTTTGTCACACGGTAAGCAAGGCACATTTTTTCTCTTAAACTGGAAGGCATGCCCAAAAAGGTTTATTTTTAAAGTAAGAGCAAAAACTACTTGCTCCCTGCACTGGTCTGGAAGCTTTCCCCCTCCGGGGACAGGTAGTTCAGCTGTATCTGTGCACCGCAAGATTGAAAGATGCAACTATAGATAAAAGGAAGTACTTCTTCACCCAAAGAGTAATTAACACACGGAATTCACTCTCACAGGAAATGGTGGCGGCTACAGGCACAGACAGCTTCAAGAGGAAACTGGATAAACATATGGAGCAGTGATGGAACACCCTGTCTCGGGCAGTGATGTTCTGTATTCTTGGTGCTTGGGGGTGCCACAGTGGGAGGGCTTCTGGAGTTCTGCCCCTCCCCCCGGGACCACCTGATGGCACCTGGTTTTTGGTCACTGTTTGACACAGAGTGTTGGGCTGGATGGACCACTGGCCTGATCCAACATGGCTACTCTTATGCTCTTAACTACATACTGTGGTCCAATAGTGCTGCATCTGCTCTGCGTGCAGAAAACCCCACCAGGGTTAAACCCCTGGTGCCTCGGATCGGGGACTAGGTGACACACAAAAGGCCTCCCCTCCCACCAGGGAAGATGCTGCTGGGAAGAGGAAACTGTACTGGCCTTGAGAGACCAAGGGCCTGACTCAGCAGAAGGCAGCTTCCCCATCAGGCAGATATGAGGCAGAACCGCCAGCCAAGGCTGACTGGGAGGAGGGCAGGGTCAGTGCAGCACATCAGGCAGGCAGGCTCTCCAGGGGAAGGGATACTGGGCTCCAGTGTTCCCTCTAAGCTGAGTTAGTGTGAGCTAGCTCACAGTTTTTTAGCCTCCGGCTCACACAATCTTTTCTTAGCTCAGGAAGGATGGCTCCAGAGCAAACTAATTTAGGCAGCAGCCAAATTGCTCGCTCACAACTTTAATGCCAGTAGCTCACAAAGTAGAATTTCTGCTCACAAGACTCTACAGCTTAGAGGGAACATTGCTGGGCTCCCAAGGAGACTTGTTTTTTGTTTCAGTTTCTTGCAGCACACACACAAGGGTGCCCCAAATGTGTCCCCACAGACATGCTTCCAACTTTAAAACCTCTAACAGTAAAAGCAGGAGACCGTCTAACCCACCCTGGCTTGCCAGGAATTAGCTTGCCAAAGCAAAGCATTTCAAAATCATTAGGCTAAGCCCGGAGGAGGAAACCTTGCTCTGGCTAGCAGCGCCAAATTTCACTGGTTACCTTCCTGGGAAGTGCGGCAGCAGCGGAAGGAGCAGAAACGTGAACATATTCGTCTGAAATGCACAATGGAGGGGGAGAGGTGGCGGGCGTTCCTGAGGGCGTTCCTTTCCCAACTGCTAAATAGGCAGAGAAAGAGATTATTCCCCCCCTCTGGCACTGCTCACCCCAGAAACACAAAGACACTTGGCACCTGAGGACTACTGCAGGTTTCTGATACCCCGAACTCCATGGCCGAGGGCAAAGAAGAGACGAGCGCAAGGAGCCCTCATCTTGGCAGACCTACCAGATGTGCCGAAGAACTTGTAAGGCTGGGATGAGGCTTGCGAAGGCTCCAAAGCGACTCCAGGGGAAGTGGGGGGAGTGGTCATGCCACAGACAGCCGAGGGGCTCCAGAAGTTAACCTGGAAGGAGAGTTGCAAGAATACAAGGAAGAGAATTACAACAGAGGGAAAAGAAAGGGGGGGGGGGGGGGGGAGAGCGCAAAGCGGGTGAAGCGGGATCCAGCACAGTTCACGCATTTACTACTGAAACACCAGCCTCCCTAAGACGCCAGAGTGTCTACAGTGTACAGCAACGTCCTCAGCCTTCCTGAACCTGTGGGCACCTTTGGAATTCTGAAAGCGTGGGGGGCACAGCCACAAAATAGCTGCCACAGCTTACTGCCAGCCGTACTGTGAGGATTCTTGTTCAGTGGTGCAGCTGTTACCAAAGCATCATTTTAAAAACAAAACCCTGCACCGCCAATTGAATCTCCAGTGGCCAATCAGAAGCCTTGCTGGGCAAAAAAACCCACCAGGCCCTAACCACTTTCTAACATGGCAGCATCAGGAGAGGTGTCAAAGGGTGCCAGGGTGCCGACGGGCACCCTGTTGGGGATTACTGGTGTTCAGTGTGGAATTTTTTTTTTTTTTTTTTAAGGAGATGCTTCATGCTAGGTCCCAGATAGCCTAGTATTGCCCAACCAAGTGGGCAGATGCTTTTTGGGGTCTCAGCATTTTGCCCGGTGCTGACAGTCTTTAATGGGAGAGTAAACGGCTGGAGCTGGGAATGCCAAGAAAAAGGGCACCAAATTTCAATGGGCAGGAGACCCAGGCCCCCAACCCAGCAGTCGCTCCAGGCTCATACCTGTCATTTCCCCCCAGAAGGAAGTGCTGCTGGCTTTGACGCCAGTCCTCAGCACCCACTGCCATGCAACCGTCAGGAGCTGCCCTATCACATCATGACCCCTATCACATCATGCCCTATCACATCATGACCCCATTTAAGCCCAGCTCCTGAGAACGAACACTTGGCCTCTGAAACCCTCTCAAAGCAGATACCGCTTACCCACCCTGCTCGCTTCGACTTCCCAGTCTTCCCCCCATCCAGAGGATTCGAGTCCAGTAGCACCTTAACCAGCAAGTTAAGGTGCCATGGGACTCAAATCTACCTGTTCTACCAGTGACTGACATGGCTGCCCTCTGGAACTGTCCTCCGCTCCAGGAGGACCACTGGCACGTGCCGTTCCACACCACTCCCCACCTCAACTGCAAATGCTGCGAAGTGAAGAGTCCACATCCCCTGCCCTACTCATTCGAGGGGGAGGAGGCGAGAGACAGAGGCAAGCCCCATGGGGAGGTCGCAGCCCTCCCATCCTCTCGCCAGGGATGGGTCAGTTTGCTTGGAGAGGGGTCGGAGGTCATGGGCTGAACCAGAGAGTTGGAAGAGGCCCAGTGAGGCCCCTGGGGCCTTCACGCCAAGTACGTGCTCTATCACCGAGGTACCCTTCCCCTCAAACAGGAATTCATCTCATGCTTGCCGTGTTACCTGCAGAGGCTCAGTTGACAGACATGAGGACTGAGGGTTCAAAATCTGAGGTAGCTGCCCTGATATGTGCACTAGCCGAGAGCCGGAATAAGGGGTAGAGGTTGACATGCCTGGATTTAAAGAAAGAAAGGGGGGGGAAGGGGAGCAGGCATTAACTTTTACGCATCTCAGCAGAACAGAATTTGTCTTTTTCAAACTGATCGGTACTGCGCTGTTTTCAAGTCTGTACTGGAAGTGTGTCTCAACACATCCTGTGCACTCTACACAAAAAGCGTTGTGGCACAGAAGTTATGATCGGCAGGGAAACAGAAAGAGATCATCAAAGACTTGAAAACGCTCCATGGATGGTCGGCACCGCAGGACAGGATCCAACAGACTCTGGGTGCCATAAATTAAGTGTATGGTAATGTAAGCCTTTGCATCGTCAAAAGCCCACTTCACCAGAATGCAGACATGCTTGGTGAGGCTCATGGGAAGCCACCGCGCTCCAAAAGGGAGAGAGAAAGGTGTGTTCATCAACTCTGGCTGGTATGGAAGTCGGGTGGAGTATTGCATTTGAAGGCGAGAGATGCAGAGACTGAAATTCCTGTCCAAGTACAAAGCTCACTCTGGTTTTCAAGCAAGCCAATGTACTGTGCTGCAAGCTGCTCAACACTGGCTCCTTGCAAACCGTGGCATGCGAAATCAGGATCCAGCCTCAGCAATATACCCTTCTGCCACATTTCCACCAGCCTGAATTCCTTTCTTCCTTGCTTGAACTGGAGTTTTGCATCACACACGCATAGATACCCTGGCTGCTTCTTGAACCAGGGTTTACAAAAGGAGGATGCTTTTCCAAGGGTGGACTCTGATGTGCATATCACCATGTGTAAAGATACACCAGCCGTAACCCTGTCATGGAGCAATGTTCCCTCTAAGCTGAGTTAGTGTGAGCTAGCTCACAGTTTTAGCCTCCAGCTCACACATTTTTGTCTTAGCTCGGGAAGGAGAGCTCCAGAGCAAACTAATTTATGCAGAGTAGCCAAATCGCTCGCTCACAACTTTAATGCCAGTAGCTCACAAAGTCGAATTTTTGCTCACAAGACTCCACATCTTGGAGGGAGCATTAGATGAGAGGCTGACAGGCGGATACAGCTTGCCCATTTATGAAGATGGACTAGCCTAATGGAGCTGCTCAGCTTGGGAACAGCTTGATTCAGCTGGACAGAATGGATTTTACAACTGGGAAGGAAAATGTGTGACCTCTTTGACATGTTAATACCCCACTACTGGCCAAGCAGGATCTGGAAGGCTTTGGGTTCCAGATCCAGAGATCTAGATTGGTAAATGCCTTTTTGGCACACAAGGGGCAAGGCCCAAAAGGGAGCTGTCCCTTTGGGCCTGTATGTATGTGAATCTGAGTGTGTGACCATGGGTGGAAATGCAGAAGGACCAGCATGCATACCATGCCTGCTCCCATCTGTCTGCCTCCAGCCAAGGAGGGGAAAGATGCACACAAACTGTTAAGTCTCAATCAGTCACCTGTTCCAGGTGCCTTCATTTACGTAGCCTGCGTGCTAGAACTGGACTGTGTTTACTCCTGAGTTTGTGCCTTGCAGTAACAAAAGTTGATTTAGTTAAGAGGCATGGCCTGGATTCCTCACCCACATCCTAGACTGCTCGCCAAACCTCTGGGCGGCGCCAGATACAGGGGCGATTAAAGGGGTGAGGAGGTGGGAGTAGAGATGTAAAATTTCTGGAAATTTTGAAGCTCAGGGAAAAAAACCGTTTTCCCCCCGTTTTTTTCGGGGGGAAACGGAAATTTTCGGAAAAATTTGAAAAAAATGCTACATTAGCATTTATTTTGTCTTTTCTAGATTGAAAGTCATTCTGTTACTTTAGGAACATAAAATATGACTATGGACATTTTTAATTGACATGAAATTCACAACTAGCATATTAAAAATATAGTGTATCCAAACAGGTATTACAAACAGAATACCCACCCACATGCAAAAACAAAACTGAAACCTTTTCCATTTCTTGTGACAATAGCACCTCCTAAAGGAAGAAATGCATCTTGTTCTTGCATTGGAGAGTTCAGTTTGTAACCTAGGACTTGCTTGTCCACAGTGCACAGAAATTAGATCAATTTGAACACCTTGTCTTAAAATATTTTATTCATCATGTGAAAATAAAACGTTCCATAATCAATTTTTTTTCTTTTCTTCTCTTTTTTCAATTTTTCCAATTTTTCAGGAAAAGAACAAAAAGGCTTCAGGAAAAAAACGGGCTTTCCGTTTTTTTTCCGGGCCTTCACATCTCTAGGTGGGAGCGGCTACCGACGGAGAATTCCAAACCCTGCCTAATAAGGGAATCGGGGCGTCCATAAAGGCGACTTCCTGCCCCAGCTTCCAGGCATGGCTGCACTCTGGTGAGAGGATCTCGCTGAAGGCATGCAAGGTACCCTTTCCAGAAAACCAGGACAAACCCACGCAGGGTTCCCAAGATAAAAAATCTACTGTACTGTTCCCACTGCCAGGAGAGTTACAGAATCTTACCAGCACCACTGTACAAAGTAATGTAAGGGCTGCCATCAGGGTTGGCTGGGCGGTGCTGCAAGTGCGGACATAAATGCTGGGAGACTGAACAGTAGCCATCTTCATAGGAGGCTTCCGCTGGGTCCAGGGAGATTTTGGCACACTCGATCACAACATCGTGGGTTTCTAATCTCTTCCACCTGTTTCAGATCCAGGGACAGTCAGACAGTTTAACATGCAGCCATTACTGCACTTAATACCTCCTCCTATTTTAAAAGGGTTCGAGAGATACATTGATTACACCAAGAGCAATACGTTCATTACAAAAAGCTTGGTTTCACATATCTGCTCATATGATGACTGGCCATGTAGGAAAGATCTGGGCCTCATTCAAATTATCAGTCAGGCCCCGTGCGGCAACAGTGGGGAAAAAGCAGACTCGACATCAGGGATTACTAGGAAGGGATTGCAAAGCACAGCACGGGGTTCCAAACTGTGACACCCTGCCAATTCTGTGGAGCTCTGATGGGCCTACCTTACTCAAACACCCATCCCAATACTCTGGGAGCTGGGAAAGGTACAGAATGGGAAAGTGAGATGGTCAAGGGGCTGCAGCCATTTTCCCTTTCCAGTAAAGGTTAAAGACTTTTCAGCTTTGGAAGACGGATTTCTAAAGGGAGGCCAAGAGAGAGATTTATGAACAAAGGAGAAACCTGCTTTCTTCGTCCTTTGTCCTCTCAAAACACTTGAGCCAAGGGTCAACTAGTGAGACTAACAGCAGGTTTAGGACAGACCGCGCCCCCGCCCCCCCCAGCTCATAAAGGTAAAGGTAAAGGTTCCCTTGCTCAAAAGCCAGTCGAATCCGACTCTAGGGTTGCGGTGCTCATCTCCGTTTCAAAGTCGAAGAGCCAGCGGTGTCCGAAGATGTTTCCATGGTCATGTGGCTGGCATGACTAAACACCATGGCGCATGGAACGCTGTTACCTTCCCACCGAAGTAGTACCTATTTATCTACTTGCAATTTCTTGCTTTCGAACTGCTAGGTTGGCAGGAGCTGGAACTAGAGACGGGAGCTCACTCCGTCATGCGGCACCTGGGTCTCGAACTGCTGAACTACTGACCTTCCACAGCCTGCAGTTCAGCGTCTTAAAGAACAACAATATTTTATTCCATCCTAAGTGCTCTAAAGGTCACTTCATCATTGAAGGTAGACTCGCTCAGACAGTAGGACCTGGATCCAGGTGAGGGGCTCAAAATTCCAGAATCCTCTCTATACAGTGGCCTTGCATTCCCAACTAACAACAACGTGCCAAAAATCCAGCACAGGTGCATGCTGGTGAGGCAGAGGGTGAGGATACTCTCTCAACCCCCAGGGCACAAGGGGCTCCTTCTCACCCTCATGTCTCCACTCGTAACCAGGGAGTTCTGTATTCAACAGAATACAAGAGAAACGATGAATGACATTTCCATTGTATTCCTCTGACCAAAGGTGCAATTTCTTGCTTTCGAACTGCTAGGTTGGCAGGAGCTGGAACTAGAGACGGGAGCTCACTCCGTCATGCGGCACCTGGGTCTCGAACTGCTGAACTACCGACCTTCCACAGCCTGCAGTTCAGCGTCTTAAAGAACAAGATTTTATTCCATCCTAAGTGCTCTAAAAGGTCACTTCATCATTGAAGGTAGACTCACTCAGACAGTAGGATCTGGATCCAGGTGAGGGTCTCAAAATTCCAGAATCCTCTCTATGCAGTGGCCTTGCATTCCCAACAACAACGTGCCAAAAATCCAGCACAGGTGCATGCTGGTGAGGCAGAGGGTGAGGATACTCTCTCAACCTCCAGGGCACAAGGGGCTCCCTTCTCACCCTCCTTATGTCTCCACTCGTAACCAGGGAGTTCTGTATTCAACAGAATACAAGAGAAACTATGAAGGACATTTCCATTGTATTCCTCCGACCAAAGAGACTTTGGTTCTCCGACCTGGTAGCGATGGCACAGAAACCATTGGAGAGCTTCCCCATGGACCGTGACATCCTTCTACAGGGTCCACTGCTCCATCCTGCTCTGGGATGGGCTCCACCTCTTTGCGTGAAAAACAAAACAAAACTAGAGCGACATGGCTAGCCAGGAAAAGATCTCTAGGTGGTCTTGGCTTCTTGAAAGCCCTTAACCAATGAGATCTACCAAGCCACTTGGGCAATTTCCCACTGGCACTGTTAAGAGAAGACAACCAGCACACCTGTTGCAGGTGCGTTAGAGATTCTCCACTTCCTCCAGGACATACTGCAACAGAACCAACTCTCTTCGGTGCCAGGTGGCGACTGTTCATGGGTTTCCTGACTTGTCACAGAACATCCACCTGCTAGACACAGTCAATTACAGCCTTCTCAAAGGGAAGCAGCCCTAGCCGGTCCTCATTCTCATGTCACGTTCAACAGCAAGTAAATCTCCACACACGTTTCCAGGGAAGTGTTATGCTTTATTAGACTACAAGTCTGTTACCATGTCCACAAGATTATTGTTAGGAATGACCATGGGGCGGAAACATCCCTACATATAGCAGGATGAGGCAAATGGCTGAGCAAATGAAATCCGAGCACGCGTGCGGGAATTCTCCCGGCGGGAGGTTACATGATACGCGGGAGAGTCTCAGTGCCCCATGAGAGCCGAACAATTCACATCTGCGGTGGAACACAAGCCCTCCCCCCGTCACAAGGTCAGACAGATAACACAGTCTGGCAGCACTGGTTCTCACGGTCTCCCTATCGCTGTTTACGGCAAGCGGGCAGAGCAGCAAGCAAGCGAGGAGGCATGCGCCGTAGCGCCAGGAGCAGAGAAGGGAACAAGCAAAACATGGCAGCTAGCTGACAATTTCCTTCTGTGGAATTTCCCAGGTTGCTGAGAGTTCTACTCAAGCCTCTCTTGAGCCCCTGACATCGGCTACACTGAGAATTCAGGTGTTCAAAGCAGCTTCTTGTGCCTTCAACCTCAGCAGGGAGGGCTTCAGAGCTATCTTTCCTCCAGCTCAGAGATGAGTTTTTGCTTCTTGCAGAAGGACTAGGTGACCTTACACACCAGCCCATCTTTGTTGCCATCTACAACTCTTTGTTCCACAGGGCCTAGAACCTCTGTCCTCAATCTGTAGCCATCCCAGCCACCGTATGGGATAGCGTTCTGAGTTAGAGGTCTGGGAACTCCCCACATCCACCGAAGAGGGTAACAACTTTCATACCTCTGGATTCTGGCTGAACAAGTTTTTATCCAACAGAATAAAAGACAGCATCATAACAGAACTTATGCAGATGCGTCAGAGCATGCATTTCCCTAGCCCTGAAACAGTCAGCATCTCCTGTCAACCTCAAATGTGACAGTCTTTGCTACAAGTGGCCACTACACACGCAACCCTCTCCACCGATGTATTCATTGCATGCACAGGTAGGGCAATGACTTGGGCTTCGGCCTCGGCTGCAGCTACTATTGACAGAAATCTTCTTCTAAAAAAGTAGTTCCTTAATTCTTCTTCCAATTTTTCTCACCCAGCTAATAAAGCACTTCAATATCCCATACAAAAGATACCTTCCTCCACTGATGGAGAACAAAACATTAGACTTACTGCAAAGGTTGCCTCTCATCACTGGAGCAGAAGGTATCCTACCCTGCACTAGTTGGCAGAGGAGGAATTGGAAAGGAACTCCCTAAGTCAACACGGACACTACCAGGTTTTTCCCCCACCTATTTTTCAGCCTTATAGAATCTCCGCTGACGGGTCTTCAGGGAGAATTCCTTTAAGTGCTTGTGACACCAGAGGTAGAAGCCTGGTAAGACATGAACTGGGGAGCTAAGTGCCTCCTCAAGATAGTGGAAACCTTTGCAAACACTGCATATGGCCTGCCCATGGAGCAAGGAAGAGGCACAACCCCACAGGATACCTTAAGAACATCAGAAGAACCCAGCTGGACCAGCCCGATAGTCCAGCACCCTGTCTCACACAGTGACCAGCCAGTTCCTCTGGACAGCCAGCAACAGGGCATTGGGCCTTCCCCTGATGTTGCCTCCTGGCTCTAGGATTCAGAAGATTAGTGCCGCCACTACCATCATTATTGTTCCATCATCCCTGGCCCTGGAAGAAGGGAACATCAGCATCTTCCAGAACAGATAACCCTGAGTAGTAGAGCAATTGTATACCATCTGCGGAATATCATAGCAGAACATCCAGAGCACTTTTGTTAAGTATAATGCTATTATAATGTTATTGTATTGAATTGATTTTAAATGGTTTTATATATGTTTTATATTGACTTATGCCTCTTGTAAGCCGCCCTGAGCCCGCATGCACGGGGAGGGCGTGGTATAAATTTGAATTAATAATAATCATAAATAAATAAATGTGGAGGTTTCCCTCAGCCACCGTGGCTAGCAGCCACTGATAGACTTATCCTCCATGAATCTACCCAATTCCCTTTTAAAGCGGTTTATTCCTGTGGCCATCACTACATCCTCTGGCAGCGAATCCCACATTTTAATCACCCTCTGTGTAAAGTAGTATATCCTTTTGTCTGTCCTGGATCTACTGCCAATCAGCTTGACTGGATGCCCTCGGGTTCTGGTATTTTGGGAGAGGGAGAAAAAAGTTATCTTTGTCAACTCTCTCCACCCCATGCATAATTTTATAAACCTCTATCATGCCCCCTTCCCCTTTGCCATCTCTTTCCTAAACGGAAGAGTCCCAAACTCTTCAGCCTTTCCCCCTAGGAAAGGTGCTGCAATCATCTTGGTTGCCCTCCTCTGTACTTTTTCCAGCTCTCCCTTTCTCAACTGATCAAGACGTAACACACATAGAAAGCATAGGAAGCACCACCCGCTGCTGCCAAAGAGTTTTTACACCAAACCATTCATACTGATCTCACTCTCCAAAAACAACTGTCATCCCTGCCCCACCCCCTCCGTCCAGAACGCAGGAGACAGGTGCCCGAGTTAGTTCATACAGAGGCATCTTCCTAGTAGCTCTGAAAGATAGGCCAGGGTACTACTGAACAGGAGCTCAAATTTCTCCTCTGCAGTTGCTGGGCCTGTGGAGACAAAAAGCAGCAAGTGCTACTGCTGCAGGCAAAGCAGACCACATCCAGACAGAGAACCCTGAACCTGACAGGCGGCATTGACTTCCTTTCTCTCTGAAAGATCGCCGCTGTATGGCAAGGGAGCCAAAGGAAGTTCCAAAAGCACCTGGTAATGTGTGTGGAGCAGAGGAATGTTCAAAGGGGGGAAAGGTCCGGAATTCAACTGGGCTAGCACAAGTGACTCCGTCTCCCAACCTAATGATACTGATGTCATTTGTGTTTAAAAAAAGAAAAGAAAAGATAATACAGGAAAACCAAGCTCTGTCTTTTACTGCCCTTTCATCTTATATTTAAAGAGATGTACTTTGCCCAAGGGCAAAATACATGGAACTCAAATCACAACTGGGCACCTCGAAAGGATTTGTTACCATGTTCAGGGCAGCAGCTTAACTTCATCGAAAATGGGAGTTGTGGTTTGTCTTCAGAGTAATACTCTTTCCGAAGTTTGTTCATGCATACACACACACCTCTAAATGCCACACATGAATGCCAAAACCAACCACCCTGCTGCCTGGGTGCTGGTAGGGAGCCCTGCCCCCTATGCACTATGTGCCTTAGGTAGGTTAAAACTGAATTTGGAACCCCTATGTAAACCGCTCAGAGACCCTTCGGGTTAGGAGCGGTATATAAATAGAATGTAAATAAATAAATAAATAAGAACCAGAGGTTAGTTTCACCTAACAGCTGTCCAAGGTTTGCCAAGCATACCCACCGGGAGACACAGCCAATCCATTCTCACCAACAGGGGTGATCCTTTTATCACATTTATACCAAGGGTCTTTTTCATGAGGGGGCCCCAAGGTGTCATACAAGGATGGACCAGACTCCTGGCGATGCCTGTTAAAACAGTCCTGATCAGTGTTCCCTCTAAGCTGAGTTAGTGTGAGCTAGCTCACAGTTTTCTAGCCTCCGGCTCACACATTTTTGCCTCAGCTCAGGAAGGGATGGCTCCAGAGCAGACTAATTCATGCAGTAGCCAAATGGCTCGCTCACAACTTTAATGCCAGTAGCTCAGAAAGTAGAATTTTTGCTCACAAGACTCCACAGCTTAGAGGGAACATTGGTTCAGATACGTCTAGCCCAAGCAGCAGCAAATATATTTTACGTGGGGCACTGCCTACAGGAGGGACACAGACGCTGTCCATTCCCCCGCCACGGTCTCCCTTCAAGGAACATCTTCAAAAGCCTCTCAAGAGAAGGGAACTAATGTACCTTCGAGGGTCCAGCTCATGATCCTTGGATCCAGTCACTAGCTCTGGATGGATGCGCACATGTTCCATCATTGGCTGCCAAGACAGAAAAAGAGAAAAGGGGCTTGAAAACCGCAGAGTTGGCGGAGGACCAGGTGACTGGTGGGCTGGCCCAGAAATTTGTTCTCATTCTCTAGCTCCCTAGTAGTTTGAATCACAAAACCCTACACACAAAACCCTCCGATTCTACCCTATTTCCATCCGAACCTTAAACGCTTCATATTCTTTTTTCAAGATTAGGAAGACCACATACTCCCTCAACCACTATTAAATCCAAATGCTGGCATTCAGTTTTATTTAGAAGCTTTCCCTTTATTCTTTCTTTTGCTCAGGAGCAAAGCATCACTTTATCTGTTGCAAGTGATGCCGCTATGAATAGGCGGGCAGTCAAAGATTACCGGTGTATGCATCAGGTAATTCCAAGGACACATCAGTGATTAAAAAGGAAGTGTGGGATTCTTTCCCCCTTACCTTGACAACCTCTTCAAAAGTCTCCAAGTTTTCCTTCATACTGTAGTGAGAGCGCAGAAACGAAACGAAGTTGCAAGGGTACATTCCATAAAGGCGGTGAAAGAGGGAATACACACTGGCATGGAGGTGAACTAAATAGATCTCTGCCACGTGACCTGGGGAGAAAAGGAGGGAAGGTTTACGAGGCCACCACTTTATGGAAAACACGGGGGAGGGGCTAAGCATTTGGCACTAAGCACCCTGTGAAATCTTCCTGACCTCTTTCTTAAAGTGAGCATACAAGTTTCTAGCCTTTATGGATGCAATATAAGATTTGAAATCATTCATATGATACTTGCTGATATCATGGGAACTGAATATTAATTTCCAGTGGTTGCAGTGGGCCTGACACCACTCCGTGTCTTCCCCGTGACCTACAGAAACAGAACTGTGGAATATAAGAGAAGCTACACAACCGGGTAATCATTGCAAATGGTGTTTTTTTTTTAATTGTTGGATTATGTTTTCTTGCCACACCAATGAGTTCCAATTAACTGGAACTTAATTCCTAAGCGGGTGGCTATCATCAGTATATTCCAAACATTATGCTTAGATCTTTGCAGGACGTGAAAATCAAGGACAGTTTCCCACACAGATGGGGAGGAGAAGCGTTTGACTCTGCACTAAAGAGGGTTCCACAAAAACAGCACGGATCCCCAAACTCCTCCTGTTGAAGCAGGACAAGGATGTCTCACTGCACTCGGCTTTGACAATGACAGGCACAGTGCACAGGAAAATCACCCAGGCGGCAACAACAGCTGACTCACTGTTAATAAGTATTTCCCTTTATTTTGTTTCTTTGTAAAGAGAAATGTTTCCACATTATTTGCTTTTAAAAAACACAACACAAAGCCAGACCCACCACTACTTCCAACTGCTGCTCAGCACATACGATGGCGAGGTCAGAGAAGGATTTTCTAAATGAAACACCCACTATCTTCTTTGGTATAAGCTGTTGTGTGCATGCACACTTCATCGGATTTCTATTATTTTATCTATACTCCGCTCTACCCCACAAGCAGGCTTGGGACGGCTTACAACATAAAACCACCAGATAATAAAAAACAACAAAGCACAATATATTGCATCAACAAACGGTAACAAAAACCCGTGCCTTGTGTCAGTCAAGGAATAGCAGGGAATGAAGTGTGCAGTGTGCACGCACACGAAAGCTTATACCCAGCATTAAACTTCTGTGGGTCTCAAAGGTGCCTCTGGACTCAGACTATGTTCTGCTGCTTCAGACCAACGTGGCCACCCACCTGGATCTATCTTCTTTGGCATAGCGGATGCCCCCCGCCCCCAACATGTCATATGTAACAGGAGACTTCATCTTAGAAAACAGAGCCATGAAAGAGGAAGCTGAAACTACCACATCCCCTCACTGGCACACGTGTTGTGGGGAATGGCAAGCCAAGAGGCTTTAGGCCATCAGCCCAAACACAGCACATCCATCTTTGCCACAAAGTACATGGACAGAGGAGCTGCGGTGGCTCAAGTGGTTAAGATGCTGAACTGCAGGCTGTGGAAGGTCGGTAGTTCAGCAGTTCGAGACCCGGGTGCCGCATGACGGAGTGAGCTCCCGTCTCTAGTTCCAGCTCCTGCCAACCTAGCAGTTCGAAAGCAAGAAATTGCAACTAGATAAATAGGTACCGCTTCGGTGGGAAGGTAACAGCGTTCCGTGCGCCTTGGCGTTTAGTCATGCCGGCCACATGACCACGGAAACGTCTTCGGACAGCGCTGGCTCTTCGACTTTGAAACGGAGATGAGCACCGCAACCCTAGAGTCGGATTCGACTGGCTTTCGAGCAAGGGAACCTTTAACCTTTACATGGACAGAGAGCCTTCCCCCTACCCAATTACCACAGAGTCGTTTCATCACTGGTAGACCCCAGAACTGTGCTTTAAGCAAGGGAAGACGATGAGTAGGGAAGGCTCATTACACTTAGCTACGGCCAATACACTAGCAGTGAAACTCAATCCAGACAACAAGGACTGATGAATTACAGCCTATACCAAATGAGGTGCCCCTTCCCCTGAGGGATGTGGGGTGTCCACAGATGGAGGTTCAGGTCTCCTCTAGGGCAAGCGACTCCTTTGGCTAGCGCACCAACTGCAACCTTCCCTGGACAGGCTGCAGTGATCCATGCTGCATTCGCATTCTGGCTTGATTACCTGGACCATGCTGTACACGAGGCAGCCTTTGGGACCCATTTGGAAGCTTCAGCTGGTATCAAACACAGCGGCAAAGTCACTGGCTGGTGCTTCTCGCCATTCCTGAAAGCTCTACACTAGAAAGAGCTCTATGCCAGCTCCTGTTTGCTTCCACACCCTAATTCACAGTGCTAGTTATGACTTTGGACACTCTACCCATCCAGTGAGTGGTATTTGGTCTTCCCTGAGCGTTACTGGAGATAGGCTTGTGTGCGTTACATCATATTCTAGCTCATTTGGGAGGTTATTTCATGTGAGCAAGCATAAAGAGCCCAGATTTGAAAAGCCCAGGGTACCCTGATTCTGTCAGATCTTGGCTGCTAAGGAGGGCTGGCCCCTGGGTCAGCATTTGGATGGGGGACCACCAAGGAAGACCAGGGTTGCTATGCAGAGGCAAGTAATGGCAAGTCATCTCTGAACGTCTCTTGCCTTGAAAACCCCATGGGGTCACCGTAAGCTAGCTGCGACCAGACGGCAAAAAAAAAAAAAAAGTATAAAGGGTTATCTTGTGAACCAACTTCGGAGCACTATGCTGAGGAATGGCCCAGTTTTGTTCTCCATAACAGAATCAAACAAATGCGCTGAAGTTAAGCCAGTCAGCCACAGCTATCCATGATGGCTGAAGTGAACATCCGTGTTCGGCTACCCCCCTTTTGACTGTAAAAAAGTTTTTCATAAGATCCAGCCAGTACCTTCCTGCCTTTATTTTGAAGGGCATTATCGCAAGTCCTCTCCTCTGCTGCCAACAGGAACAGCTCCCTGCCCTCCTCTAAGTGACAGCCCTTCAAATACTTAAAGAGAGCAATCATGTCCCCCCTCAATTCCTACATACGGGGATCCAGAATTCTAGCCCAAGGCTGGGAACTCCTCCGGTCTGGGAGCAACCTGGTAACTTTGTCCGTAAGAAGAGCCCCCCCCCCCCCCGCCACTCCCTGCAAACTCTCACCTGGGTTCTTCAGGCACCAGGATGAAAGGCGCCCGAAGATGCCAAAGAAGTCGTGGAGATATTGCTTGCCAGACTGGGGTATCATCGGCAGCATCGTTATCAACACTAGCACACCGGTGATGAGTACCACTATGTTGGTGTCAGTCTGTAAAAGAGGGGAAAGGGCAACCGTTTTAGAGTCCCGATTTCAATGGAAACAATGAAAACCACAGACAGGAGGTTAAATGCCATTCCTGGATGACACGCAATGGTGACGGGGAGCTGCACATTTGTACATGCCACCATGAAACCAAAAAACAAACAAACCAGAGATACAATAAACATAGCAAATTAGTACATCAGGGAGATCTGGAGGAGATGCGGCTCAGTGGTAGAGCCTCTGCTTAGCATGCAGAAGGTCCCCGGTTCAATCCCTGGTATCTCCAGCTAAAAAGATCAGGCAATAGGTGATGCAAAAGACCTCCGCCTAGGACCCTGGAGAGCCACCGCCAGTCTGAGTAGATGATACTGACCTTGATGGACCAAAGGTCTGATTCAGTACAAGGCAGCATAAGGCAGCTTTTCCTGAGATATTTGGGGCAGAGGACTAAGGTCCCCAGAGGCCTCCTCTGCTTGGACCTCCTCTAGAGAAAGACCACTGCAGACCCAGGTTTGGGTCACAGACTAAGCAGCTGCATGGTGCTCACCTTTCTCCCTGCTCAACTGCCTGACCAAGCCACACAATCCACACTACTGGCAAAGAGGTGGGCTAAACTTGCTTCAGGCCCCCTCCAACAGGGCTGGCTGAGTCCTGTCCATGTCAAAGCTTCTGAAGGAACCCACAGCTCAGGCAGTAGTTCTTGAGAGAAATTTCCATCAAGTTGAGACCTGAATACCAAAAGTTTGTCCACACCCCAGCAAAAGGCTTTCTCTACTCAGCTGCCAGTTGCCCAGGGAGGGTGGAGGCCAGGAAGTCCCAGCTGCCTTCCCAGCAGCTATTTGGTGTTTGTAAACTGCAACGAGGATTATTTGACTCAAGGATGATGGTCAAGTCTTTATAAATAAGAAACTTGCATGGAGAAGAGGGACAGAATAGCAAAGAAAGCTAGAAGCTGGCTTGTGAAAAAATAAACCTGGGAATTTGGAGGAACTAGTAAGTTATGGCCATAGATTATTATAACAATACCATGTCACTGCATCATATGAATTATTTGCAAAAAACCTCAAAATTCCCTCAGTTGATATGGAAGGGCAACTGGTGGCCATGAGGGGCTGAAAGAAAATGGCACTGGTGTAGGTTGGACCTTCAAAAAATGAGCCCCTTTCCATCCAGATGGCTGACTAATGTGCCTGGACTGTGGTCTTTCTGGAGAAATCAGACCAGAACAGGTTTAAGAACATATCAAGGACAGGAGAAGTCTGGAAAGTGGATGCCTGGATAGTACACGAGGGAATTATTTTTCAGAGTTGTAAACAGACTAACATAAAAGTCTTCATCCTATATGTAAGTAAATAACCCTAAAGCCTGTCACACATATTAGAAACAGAAAGTATTTCATAGGAGTTTTCTTCAAAGCACCAAAACTTCCAAATTTTGAATGGGAAATGAGAAGTCTTCCCCCACCTCTGGCGCGGGGGACCCCTAGGCAACAGCCCTGCCTTTCCCAAGGCCTTCAAATCTCCAGTCCAGCCCCAGTTCAGCATGTAATCCCAACACTTCCCACTGGGCAAGCTGAGTTACAAGCAGAGAGCTCTTTAATCCCTCCCCCCCACTGTGAACAGAGACTGCTCACCAGAAGGGTTTCTTTTTTACAAGCGGTGTGTTGCTTTAATTAACTATTCGACTGGACCATGCTTCAGAAGCAGTGGGCACTTTAGGGATCTCATCTTCAGATCACCCCTACCCATTTTACTACATTCAGAGGTACTCCCAAATTTCCCTAATCCACTTCGCAGATCAGTAATGTATCAAGCATTTCAGACACCAGGAGGCTCTGAGCTTAATATGATCAATCACGGGTTTAATTAAAAAAACATTTTTATTCACAGCAACAGCTACAAAATGAGAAAAAGTCAGATTGGAAAAAAAAACTAACGTGGTGACGTTAAGCTGGCTTCTTTACACAGCCTCACATGGATATAAGCGCTGCCCACTAGACACTAAGCTAGTCTAAATTTACAGCTTCAGTCGACATAGGTGGGGACGGATTCCCTGGATTGGGGGTGTGTGTGTGTCAGACACCTATAAGGAAGAACCTTTTGTTTTCAAAGAAATGTTAAGGAAGAACTTGGCCGCGGAGGCTGCTCCAGAAAAGGTAGCTGAGCTTCATGTGCAAATTGTGACTGGCCAGTGTTAACGAGATTTCCCATAGTCAGGGGGTGCTAGTACCTTCCTGCAAATTTCACTTAGAAGAGGAGACTGGATTTATATCCCACCCTTCACTACCTAAGGGAGTCTCAGAGGGGCTTACAAACTCCTTTCCCTTCCCCTCCCCACAACAGACACCCTGTGAGGTAGGTGGGGCTAAGAGAGCTCTTTCGAGAACGGCTCTGAGAGAACTTGTGACTGACCCAAGGTCACGCCAGCAGCTGCATGTGGAGGAGGGGGGAATCAAACTTGGTTCTCCCAGATTAGAGTCTGTGCTCCTAACCACGACACCAAACTGGCTCTAATTAATTAATTATCATATGCATTAAAAATTAATTATCATATGCCACTGTGTGTGGAATAGCCAGGAAATCCCAGAAGGAACTGTTTGGCTGCCGAAGCTGTAGCTCTTTTTGGCAGCTATGCTTATTTGTAGGCTGAGAGTGCTGTGACTGGCCCAAGGTCACCCAGCTGGCTTCAAGTGGAGAAGCGCGGAACTGAACCCGGTTCTCCAGATTGGAGTCCACCTCTCCTAACCACTACATCAAACTGGCTCTCACTGCCCAGTGTCAGCATCTTGAACAGCAAGCCTGGGAACGATTCTGTTCCGAGACCCTGGAGGTGTGCTGGGCTAGGCGGAGCAATAAGCTAACTCCAAGTACTTATTTATTTATTTAGATTTCTATCCCACCCTCCCCAAAGGCTCAGGGCAGCTAACAGGGCACAATGCCAAGTAATAACAATAAAAGAGTATAAAACATTAAATTACAATAAACAATTAAGCTTATGCCTCCTCTGCTGAACAGACCACAGCCCTCCACTTTGCCATGATGCCAGGCTACTTGAAAATCATTTACAGCCCCATTTCCAAAATGAAAAACGAAGCTGGGGGCCCAACTTGGTCAAATCAACTCACCGACTTCTGCATAGATCCCGGTGAGTGGCCATGTTGGTCTGAAGCAACAGGACAAAGCTTGAGTCCAGTGGCACCTTCAAGACAAATGCATGTAATTCTGGGCATAAGCTTCCGTGTGCAGGCACAAATAGGTGCCACTGGACTCAGACTTATGCACGGGTCATCCAGCTCATGCCTATGTCCCTATTTGAGGCAAAGGGTTTTTTCCCCCCCAAGGGCTGTAAAGAAAGTATTGGGAGTAGCCAGTGTGGTAGAGTGGTCAGAAGGCGTTTGAGTAGGAGCCGCCATGACCAGTGTTCCCTCTAAGCTGAGTTAGTGTGAGCTAGCTCACATTATTTTAGCCTCCGGCTCACACATTTTTGTCTTAGCTCAGGAAGGATGGCTCCAGAGCAAACTAACTTATGCAGTAGCCAAATCGGTCGCTCACAACTTTAATGCCAGCGGCTCACGAAGTAGAATTTTTGCTCACAACACTCCACAGCTTAGAGGGAACATTGGCCATGACTGTTACCATCTGTCTACGACTATTACTATCCGTCCTAGCCCTTATTACCAACTCGCCGTGAGTGCAAAAATGGTGGTACTGCGTGGAGCTGTGGCCACTAAGGATACCATCCTGATGACGTCATCGGTTCCCTTGTTAGTCGTTGTGGAGAGCACTTATGTTGCACTGAATGTTTTTTAAATGCAGTTTTAATGTTTTATGTATTGGGCATTGGCCCCATCTGTACGCTGCCCTGAGTCCGTTCGTGGGAAGGGCGGGTTATAAATTTAAATAAATAAATAAGTGTTGGACTAGGATCCGAGAGACTCAGGTTCCAATCCTCTCTCCCCTACGGAAGCTTGCTGGGTGATCTTGGGCCAGTCACTCTCTCCCCGCCTCAGCTATCTCACAGGGTTGTTGCTGGGAGGATAAAACAGTGAGGATAAAACAGAGGAGGAGAACAACGTAAGCCCTGATTTGGTAGAAAGGAAGGGTACAAATGAAGTAAATAGATAAACCAGAAACCTGTACAGAAAAGAAAACAGACACACTTTGATAAATAAAGAGAATCATTGCGTCACAGCCATGGGAAAAGGGAACATAAAGGCCAAAACATAAATTACAGAGGAAACCAATAGGGGTCCAGGGTCCACAGCCTGTCTAAGGGTCACGTGACTTGCAGGGTCTCCTCAATTCTCCTGTGTGCAGTGCTGCAATTCAGACAAGATGAAAAGGCATCTGCGACAGCGGTGTGGCCATACCTTGAGACACTTGAGCAAAGAAAGCAGGAGGGGCGCTTGAGAGAGCTTGTGCCTCCACGAAGGCTGCCGTCTCACCACATGGCCGAGTAGCGAAAGAGTAGGGAGGCGGGTAGGAAGCTTGCTCATGTATTCGTTGATTTTATCCAAAAGATGCTAAAGCAGATAGAAGGGGGGGGGGAGAGCAGAACTTGTGACAAAAACCATTACAAGGACTCTGCATGCATTTTAAGTGATATGTGGAATTCTGGCCAAATGCAATCCAATGGCATAACTGAACTTTCTCGTGGGGCTGATTCAAGTACTCCCAAGCAGTGTTCCCTCTAAGCTGAGCTATTGTGAACTAGCTCACAGTTTTTTAGCCTCCAGCTCACACATTTTTGTCCTAGCTCAGGAAGGATGGCTCCAGATCAAACTAATTTATGCAGTAGTCAAATTGCCCGCTCACAACTTTAATGTCAGTAGCTCACAAAGAAGAATTCTTGCTCTCAAGACTCCACAGCTTAGAGGGAACATTGCTCCCAAGCACACTTCAATGCACTTTGCCTAGGCCACAATGGAAGAGAAATCTCCCTTCACATGCCCCCTGCAGTTACCTGCCTGCGGCACAGTACCAGGGAAGAACACCAGTGGACAAGGCAATCAGCTGAGATGATCCCATTCGTCCTTGCCCCCCTGCCCCCTGCCCAGATCACATCACAGGGAAGCACCTCCTATGCTGCTGCTGGTGCATGCAAAGCAGTCCTCGATTTTAAAAAATGTTTCTGTTTGATGTACAGTTACAAAACAGCAATTCCCCAGTTCACTGCAACAGGGCGGAAATTCAAACTGCGTTTCTATTTGGTGTTCTCTCTGTTGCTAGAGAAGTCTTCGTTACAGCAGCGAGTGTTTGCTTTACCTTGTCATGCGGCTCTTGAAGTGTGGATAGGATGTGCAATGCTTGCTGGGAACTGGTTTCCAAGTAGAAATCTACCAAGGTATTTACAAGCATGGGCCCACGGTCTGTCGGTGGTTATTGGCCACCGAGAAGAAAAAAAGTATTACAATCCACACACGACATATTACAACACAATGCCGTCCCGTTTAACATCTTTCCAGTAGGTCTCACAAGACTTAATGGCAGACTGAAAACTTTAACACACACAATGACACTTGAGTTCAATGTAAATGGACATTTGAGGAGGCATTTGGAACACATCAGCTTCAAAGAAGAAGAAGAGATTGGATTTATACCCTGCCCTTCACTCGGAGTCTCAGAGCGGCTTACAAACTCCTTTCCCTTCCCCTCCTCACAACAGACACCCTGTGAGGTGGGTGGAGCTGAGAGAGCTCTGACAAACTGCTCTTTTTCAAGGACATCTGTGCCAGAGCTTGTGACTGACCCAAGGTCACATCAGCAGGTGCAAGTGGAGGAGTGGGGAATCAAACCCGGTTCTCCCAGATTAGAGTCCATGCACTTAACCACTACACCAAACCGGCTCTTAACCACTACACCAAACCCAGGACTTGCAATTGTATCTCTGACTATGGAGGTATGGCAGATATATTGGGTTATTAACTGATTTTTTTTTACAGTGGTTAACCAGGGAAGTCACTATCCTAACCAAATTTTGGAAGCAAGGACCCCTTACTTCTACAAATTAACGTGCATTGCAAAGAAAACCATGTACCACAGAAAGTCAATGTCTTGTGAAAGAGGGCTTGGCGTGCCAAACCTCTTGTGAACCTCTCTCCGTCTTCCAAATGGTGACTTAGCTGACCACTAAAAGCAGGCTGGGAGATGCACAATAAGCCAGCTCCACAGTAAGCCGGCAACACAGTGGGCCGTTCGTGAAGCGCTAAGCAAGACTGAAAAGAGGCAGAACGCTAACCAATTCCGAATTTCAGCTTTCTTTTTACTCAGTATTAAGTAACTTTTTCACAGAAAAACGGTCTCAAAACAGACTGAAGGTGTTAAGTGAACGTTAACCAAAAGCCAGATAATCAGCTAAAAGATCTATAACACCTGTTAAAGTGGGCTCTAGTTAGTCTTAAGCGTATGCTTTTTGACGTCTTGTTTCGTTGACATAGCTACAACACTGGAAGCTGTGGGCCACACTAGAGTCGATAGTAATTTCTGGCAGGGTACCACCTCTCCAGATTCTCTGGAAGCTGTGGGCCACACTAGAGTCGATAATTTCTGGCAGGGTAGCACCTCTCCAGATTCTGTGGATGCCTGCTGGTTGAGATCAGCCTGCGGACATAATCTTCAGATCTGGGATCCACCTTTAACCCCAGTTTACGTCACAGAAGTCTTTTTTAACATATCATATATGTCCACTCTTCTTCTCTGCCTCTTTTGGGGGCCAAAGCAGACAATAACTGCATCCCCCAGTCCATGACAGGGATATGGTGCTATTTCAGAGCTTGCTTTTTAACTTTTCAGCATGCAGCATCATCTAGTTCGGCTCTTAGTCCGTCAAAATATGCACATGCCCACAACAACAGCACTACTGCTATACCCCCATCTTGGAACAACACTGCTGTAGATTGTGTCCAAGAAGGTGGATTTGTCGATTATGCTACCTCCCAAAAGCCCTAGTACAAAACGCAAGTTCCACAATAAAATGGCACTTGGTTATACCCCACTTTTCCAAAGAGTGTTCAAAGCAGCTTCCAAAAAGGTAATTCGAGTCAACATTAAACTACTGAGACAAGAACACAGCAGGGCTGTAGTCTGCAACTTCCTAAAGCAGAACTGGTCAGAACGACCCCCAAGGCCGGTGATGGAGAGACACTTACCCGAATTGAGGTTCTCTTTAAATGCAGCTGTTATATCTTCCAGGACACCCAGGTTGGGAGAATCGAGCATGGCGAGGAGATCACCAACATTTCCTTGCTGAGCCATTCTGTTTTGTGCTATGTGCTTTTGTACATGCTACTGCGATCGTGCCAGGCAAGACCTCAGTCGGTTCTTCATTGGTGCTCCTGTCAAACTGAGGGTAGAGAACAGTGACCTTAGCCAAGTATTTCTATGAGGTCTTCAACCTGGTATCCCACGGCTTTTCTTGCACAAACTTGCAAGCCAGAGAGAAGCTATATCTCTAAACATCTCTTAATACAGATCCTTCACACATCAGAAGCAGATCGTTTTCTTAGAAAGTACAACCCTAAAAGCTTTTGAAGCAGACTCTGAATTTGTCAACTTTTGCAGCAACGCCAGAAACATGAAGATTTTTTTTAAAAAATATTCAAGTTAATTAAATCTGATACCTATGAAATCAGCCACTGAGAGCTAAACCATCTTAAACCCAACGGGTTAATCGTAGAGAATGGTACTTGGGGTACCTTTTTCACACTATTAGGAATACAGCTGCAACCAAACAGGCGTTTAAAATTGTTTCATTCAATTAGAATAAACATACATTCTAGATATTTTTGTTCAACAGACACAAAACAAACATGTGAATTTTTAATTCAGCTAACAAACACATAAAAAACTAAAAATACATTCGAAAGACTATTTAGATCAGGTGAAAATACTGGATGTCTCACCCAGGGTTTTTATTAAAACATTCCCCAAATGGGGTCTCTCTTTACAGCAGGGTTCCTCCGCTTGGCACCCATGGGGCACCTGCTAGCATTGCCCCTGGTGCCCACCAAGATTTCCGGAAAGTGCGTGAGGCCTGTTCTTGGCTGCCCTCATTCAAATGAAAGGGCTTTCTTTCCCCTGGAGGATCAGTGATAAGCACCCAGGGCTTTCTCTCGTCAGTTCCATTCCCCCCCCCCCAGGCTTCCCTTCTTTTTATTCCCCTTCTGCGATTCTTGCACAAGGTGAGGAGGAAGGTATTGGGTTTTGCTCTGTCTCCTGCAGCAGCCATTTTCAGATGGCCCTCACTATCCCCTCTCAAAGTCCAAAGCGGCTCGCTGGGTCAAAAAGGCTGGGGGACCCCTGCTTTACATGTTCCCTTTTCATTTTTAAGGGTCAGTGAAGTTTATCCTAAGAAACTTAGCCCTCAAGAATTTTGGACACACACACCCCGGCGTCACAGCCTGTCCCCCCCTTGTAGCCGGTTTGGTGTAGTGGTTAAGTGTGCGGACTCTAAATCTGGGAGAACCGGGTTTGATTCCCCACTCCTCCACTTGCACCTGCTGATGTGACCCTGGGTCAGTCACAAGCTCTGGCACGGCTGTTCCTGAAAGAGCAGTTTGTGTCAGAGTTCTCTCAGCCCCACCCACCTCACAGGGTGCCTGTTGTGGGGAGGAGAAGGGAAAGGAGTTTGTAAGCTACTCTGAGACTCCAAGTGAAGGGCGGGGTATAAATCCAATCTCTTCTTCTTCTCTTCTTCCCTTGTGTCTATCTCCAGACCTTTCATCCTTGCCCAGATCTGCTCACACCCAGTCTCCCTCTATTCATGGACTGTCTTGAAACTTAAGCGCTCATCAGGTCTGTAATCATCAAGTGCGGCTGTTAAACATCATGCTATAGATATACATCATATTAGAGATACTTCAATTCTTAAACCGAAACAAAACAGAAACAGTTTTTTTCTCTGTAGCTTCAAAAGTTCAGGAAATTTTTAATCACTACTCTAGAATGAGTGCCTAGGATTAAAGATGGTGCAAATAACTGTTGCCACGTATAGTTAGAAGTTACAACATTCACTCCATGATATTTTTATAGTATAACATCCTTCAAGGAGGTTTTTTTTCCTTTTTATAACGTGTTAACCAGGGGTCATTTTGGGGGGGAACGCGGGAGAACACAGTTCCCCCGGGTGAGGTACAGGGGGGCGGGGCACATGACGAAGCCCCGCCCCCTGCTTCCAGCCACCCCGCTTCCGGCCCTCATTCAGCCAGGAGGAGGCAGGAGAAGAGGGAGGGTAAGTTGCTTCCTCCCTGCCTCTCCCCACCCCTGCCTTCCTGGGGCCAGGGAGGGCCTTCGCGGGGCTTCCTTGCACTCCCGCCGGCCTTGCAGGTCCACTGCCGGGCCCCTCATGGGGCTCAGCAGTGGAGCTGCAAGGCTGCCGGTGGCGGCCGGGACCATTGGGGGTGTGTGTGTGTGTGGCCTTATGACACACTTCCGGTGATGTCAGGGGGTGTGGCCTCATGACACACTTCCGGTGATGTCAGGGGGTGTGGCATATGCTAATTAGTTATGCTAATGAGTTCCCCTAGCTCTTTTTCTACGAAACGACCCCTGGTGTTAACAAAAAAAGAAAAGAAACCAAATTAGATTTTAAAAGCCACTGAATTTGAATGAATCCTGCTATCTAGAATCTTCAGTCTAGAACCACTACTGAAGGTGATTTTATTACTGTTATTTTCTATATATCTGATACCTTGCAGGCTTCTTTCTTAGACAAAATGAAAATCACACGTTTAAGTTTCAGCAGCTTCAATGATCAGCCTGCTTAAATCTCACCCTGCAAACCAAGAGATTAGAAGCACGTATCTTTGATAGGACTGTGCTCTACCTAAATAAAATAAGAACCACATACTGCTATTATCGCTAATAGGAAGCAAAGCAGTTAGCAGCTTCAGCAGTGATCTTTTCCAAGTGAGAAAATGGCAGGGGAATAGAATGTAGTGGAGCCCTTTACTCGTGAGTCTCACAAAAGTTTGGGGAAGCCTGCTGGGAGTGTGCAGGTTGCCCCAGAATGAGGAGGAGAGGAGCGTTAGCTGTTCCACCTCCTGGTCATGGGAGGATGAGGTGAAACCTTTCCCCCAAGAGCAAAGTTCTGCCATGTGCTCAGCCCACCTCCTGGCTGTTCCTCCTCTTTCATAGTTGCACTGTGATTTTAAACCACTGGGGTTTTTCTGTTGTTTTTGTAAGCCTCTTTGAGTCTTCCTTTGCCGGAGAAAAGAGGAAAACATTTTTAAAAATAACACTTTTAAATAAATAGCAGTTTATGAGTCAGCATGAAGTCTGCATTCTGAAATTTTAGGTAGCAGTCCTTGCCTCCCTGTATTCCAAGAACTCTTTCAGTTTCTGAAAGAAGCCTGCCAATATTTCCGTTTCACAACACCCAAGCTCAGGGCAAGGTAAGCTATCGTGTACACATATCCTGGAAATGGTGCGGCTGGCCCAAGGTCTGAGACCAAGCCTCCTATGTTCGAGCTCAAGTTGTTTCTCAAGATCCACGAAGGCAAACACTTCTGGCTCTGTTGCTCCCGCAAGATTCATGCACATTTTCTGTGTAATTCCCTTTTTGTCCTTCAAAAGGGGGAAAAAAACCCTAACACCCCTCAAACAATTTCTGCAAACACACCGGCTTCTAGCAAAACAGGGAAAGATTATTATCTTGCATACAACAGCAAATGCCAAAACCTAAGTGGACTGCCTGAAGCCAAGTCCTGCTGGCTGGCGCCAAGTGAACTGGACTCCCGCCACTGTTGTCTCCCGAGCCAGTGTTGTCCCCTTTCGGCTGCAGCTTTGACTGAGCAAAAATGTCAGTTTCAGTGGTGCAGCTTTCCAAGTCCCTGCCAGAGAGAGTGCCTGACCTGTCAGCTTTAGCAAAGAAGCTACTGCAGAGCCAAACCCCTGGCTCTCAAGTTCACGAATCTGAAAACAGGACCGTGTACTTAGGAAAAAATACGCAGGCGGGTTGGATGGCATCGGCTTGCCACTGCATGAGTAGAGGGCAAAGCCCATCAAGAAAACCTCTCATTTTAGTACAACCAGAAAAACGAACTTGCTTGCGACATTCAGCAACTGGTACTCAACATTTACCAACAGCTTGTATCAGCATCTTCAAGTTAGTGTTGATGTCCACTAGGAAACAAGGAAGCATGGAAAACAAAATGTTGGCAGCATTTTAAAAAAACAGGCAGTATTCTATGTGGATTCCAGAGAAACAGAGAACAGAAGGAATAACGGCAAGTATCTCTGCAGGTAGAAATCTGACCATCTAATATGATTTCTCAAACAAATACACCAAATATTATGTTCCATACAATCCGGGCTGTTTATTTTCAGTGACTCAACCTCTTTGGTGGATGGAGATAAAAAATGAAAAGGCAGAATTGGAAGCTACGACCATCAGAAACTGATTTAGATCAGGGGAGTTTGACAGTATTTTGAATGATACAAGTAACGTGGGTTTCATGTGGTTCATTCTGGGCAGTAACCAACTGTGTGAGATAATACACTCCTGGATAGGCATTATTCTAAAATTTAACTAAGCATCATGTGCAGGTGTCCCTTGGATCCATTCTGCTACTGGCTGTGCATTCCGCTGGTGCAAACGCCCACTGTTCATAGAACAGATGTGTGGGATTCAACCCACAGATTTAATACTTGAGAGCCCTTAATACTGTGATCCGTTAAGCTGGAAAGATAAATCAGTGGCTGTGGCAACTGATGTTCTGGCAAACAGATGTTGCAACAACTGGTATTCTTGCTGAATGCTGGCTGCGAAAGAGACTGCTTCCAAGTGCAGTTAACAATTCATTTTGTTACTATAATTCTCCGTTTATTTTTCTGTTTAAACCCCCACCACCACCAATTTTCCAAACTAGACTTTGGGATGTGAACAGAATTTTCCTGACAGAAAAAAATGGAAAAATTTGGGGGAGCGCTGAAACAAAACTCTTATGAAAGACATTCTGTTTTAGAACAAATAAAACGCTTCTTCAGGCAAGAGTTTTCACATTCAAACCATATAGCATGAAAAAGACCGAGAACTTCTTCAGTTTTTCCAATGGAAAAATTGGGAAGTCTGGTAGAGTACTGGAAAAAACCTCCTATGAAACACTTTTTTGAGGGGTGGTGGTGGAGAAATACCTCGTCTCAAACTGTTACACTCATTCCAAACATACAGCATGAGGACTTTGACCATTTTTCCAACAGAAAAATCAAGATGTTTCAGGGAAGACCACTGAAAAAAATGCCCTTATATTGTAGATATAACATATGACAAGAATGTTTTTTGTTTAAATGTACATTACTTTGGTAACAATTAATATGCTATAATGTGTTTAATGATTAAGGAGTTCAGTGTTTTCAATGTTATATATTTTAACTTAATAGCCAAACAGGCTGGTCTTACCTACTGTGACTCTATGAGAGTCTCTGTCCAAATACACTTTTACAGAACTTATTTTCCACCTTCAGCTCTTATTTTTCCCCCCAACTCTCAGATGGCAAAAATTAAAGACAGGTTTGATAGGAAACTAAGTACTGTACATATTTCAGTTTTCCAAAAGCTCCCTGAAACTTCAATATAAAAAAAAAGATGGAGAACATTTTTTTCATGGCTTCAGATTTCCAAATTTTACATCTTTGACTAAAGAACGCGAAGGCTTAGCACTTTGCTGCTACATCTCTAGCACTGTGTATATTTATAATTGTTTGAATAAATATTTTTAAGGTTCGACTGGGAGGGCAGGATATAAATCTAATAAATGAATATACCAGACTGCACAATTGTGTGTGCGCGTTATGCAAGGTACGCATAATGCATTTATTCCAAAGAGCAAGATGAGCTCATGTATAAGAAAATAAACATTCCATGTACTTCTCAACATGGCTTTTCCCAGCAATGAATGGAAACAGCAGCATCATGTCCTCTGGCCCCAGCAGCTTCAAAATCTTGCAGCCCTGAGGGGGTAGAGGCCCGTCCCCTTCAGGTTTCTCTCTCCTTTATCTGCACTTGCCAGAGACCCAAGAAGCACAGAACCAGAAGCTCAAAGTTCTTTACCTGTTGTGCTGGCCAGTAGACTCTCTCTTTCCACTGTCATCAACCTGAGCCCTTCCATGATCACCAAACTGAAAAATAAAAGGCGACCAATTAGCACATAGTTCTACTGCAACTACTGCACTAGCACAGTAGCAAAAACCACAGCTCTTAGCAGGGCCAACGGAACTGCCCTTCGGACTGGGTGCTCGGCATTATGAGGCTGTTCAAGGGCCACAGATGTGCTACTGAAAGACTGTTTCAAGCACTCCAATGAGGTAAGGAAGACCCATGTATGCAACAGTCCTACTTTACAAAAACATCTGGGGTGCCAGACACCAGTACAACTGTTACACAAGCAAGCACACATTCCCATGGCCCAGCTGGAACAAGCTGCCTCAAACCAAGGCCAGCACCACTATGGAAAATAGAAACTCAATCCTGTTGTCTTGCATTTATCCTTAGAACCCTACCTAGGCAATGCTAACACCCTGGAATGCATGATGGCAACTGAACAACCAAACTAGGTTTGTTGGCCAAAACGATGGCTTAACTCTAAAGTGCAACCTAGGAGCAAAATGGATTAACTCCTTCCAAAACTCTTATAAACAGTATGCTACGGGACCCTTCATAGATGGAGTTCTAGCAAACCAGGTCTATCAGTGTACTGTGAAGGCTTAACTCTAAAGTGCAACCTAAGAGCAAGATGGATTAACTCCCCCCAAAAAACTTATAAACAGTATGCTACAGGACCCTTCAGATTCCAGATGGAATTCTAGCAAACCCAGTCTATCAGTGTACTGTGAATTACTATTGTTATGGACCACTGATGGACTGCATCAAACATGCTATTGGACATGAACATGAAGTCTTACTACAAGAAATGCTTTTGGAGAAAAACATATCTTTATTAACTGAAGATCAGCTACACGCAAAGGGTTACGACAAAACACCAGACTTCATATTAGAAGTGCCAGTTACTGTAGAAGGGCATACCCTTCATTGGATCGAAAGCAAAGCCTCATTTGGTGATGAATGCAGCCACCAGGCCTACCTTCACGATCAGTTCTGGAGCTACTGGAACAGCAGCTGGGAAGATTGGAGCTAAACAAGTGCAGCCTGCTGCAGTTTCTTGCAGAGAGGACAGGAGTTCAATTAGGAGCCGCCCTGGGGGAGAATGCCCTGCCCCTTGAAATCTTAAAACAGCCTGAGCCACCCATACAACATCAAATCGACCATTAGGATGGCATGGAAGTTGAGCGGCATCTCAGACGTAATGTTAAATTGATATGTTATTGGAAATTGGATTATAATCATTAGCACCTTTTAATCAAAAATAGGGAAGATTAAGAAAAAGTGGCATTTGTATTTAAAATGGGTCATGGAAAGTCAAAGGTCGGACGTTCAGTGGAAGCTCTTAAGTTTGTGCCCCTGGCTAGAAAGGATAAATAGTTGGGGGGGGGGGGATAGGAAATAAGAAAAGGCAGAAGAACAATATGTGAGAAAAATAACCATCCAAGTTATACTAAAACTCCCTACCTCTGATTACAGAATAATCTTCGGCTACGAATTTAAAGAGAAAAAGGAAGAAGAAAAGTATGAAGGACGGGAGGAAACAGAGGAAGCAAGAAGGACAGAAGGAGGAGGATCTATATAAAAGACTATTGCCGAAGACACAGAAACAGTTATAAACTTTGAGGGAGGAGGAGGGAGGGTAGAGAATACAATATGTGTGGGAATAGGGATGTGCTTGATTGTAACATGGAAAAATATAATTAAAAAAAAATTAGCACCTTTTAATATTGTTATTGCTATGGTTTTAGCACTGTGATTTTATGCATTGTAGTTTTTATGTTGTTGTAAGCCACCCTGAGTCAGCCATGGCTGGGAAGGCAGGGTATAAATGTAATAAATAAATAGGACTGGGGGGGGGGAATGCCTCAAGTTACTCATGTTATCACAGAGCACAAGAGACACAGTTACAGAACTTTCATGCACAGAAGCAGGATCAGGTGCAACAAGGCATGGCCATTATGTTCTGCCCAAGGCATCTGGCCAGCCAGCGCTGGAAAATAAACACTGGGCTGATGGACCATAGATCTGAACTGGCAAGGCAATGGCATAGCTTTTTTTTTTTTTTTAAGAGACAATCTTGATATTTCACCTCTTGAAACAACAGCAGCCAGTAATTTCTAGCAATATGGTTATTTCAAGCTCCAAAATCCCTTTTAGTACATGGAGGCCTGATTCTGAACCACAAAAAAGAAGCTCTTTTCTATAGCAGTTTTAATCCACAAATTACCTTCCATTACTGCTCTCATTAGTCCTGCCGCAATAATCCTGTGGGTTAGATTATTATGCTGTTATAGACAGAACCGTGGGAGCCACCTGCCCAGGGCTACCTTGCGAGTTAGTTGCTAAGCAAGGATCTGAATGTACATCTCTCAGATCCCAACCATTCTCCAGCACTCAGTCATAATAACTTTTTTTTAATTACTGGGTTTTGTACTAATACTGTCCGGGTCCCCCTTCCACATTAACACTTTGCAAGCAAGCCTCTGCATCTAGGCACAACTTCCACATCAGCTTGCAATGCACTTAAGATAGCTATGCACATGAAGGGTGAAAGATACACAAATCATAAAAGCATTAAGAGCAGCTGACAGCTAAATCCGCCAGCTTAAAAATGATCACATAGGGCACCTCATTCCAGTTACTTCAGCACCCAAGGTCATTCTGACAGTCTCCACCTACCACTACTTTCCCGATGAGGCTACTAGGAAGAAAAGTTTGGTTTGAGTGGAACAGCTACTGCAGTACATTGTTATCCTTCCATAGAGGTGGGTACTTGTGTCTGTCTGAAGCAACAGAACAAAGTTTGAGTCCAGTGGCACCTTTAAGACCCACAAACTTTTATTCAAGGTATAAGCTTTTGTGTGCACATTTAGACATCTGTCTCCTATTTTGACATATTTACCTCACTGTGTTTTCTCCCGTAATTAAATCCAAACAAATTGTGACATTATAAACTTAGCTTGTTATTCCTGTTTGGTCTTTGCATCTGTTAAAACATCGTCCTCATGTTATATGCTAATTTGTTGTTCACCCTCTGCTTATATGGACTGTTAATTTCCACTTCCGTGTACCTGAGGAAGTGTGCGTGCACACAAAAGCTCATACCTTGAATAAAACTTGGTTGGTCTTAAAGGTGTCACTGGACTCAAAAAAAATTCTATCCTTTTGTACAAAGTGCTTCAAATTCTTGGGTTCAGCGGCAACCACCTTATGACCAAGGTTAGGCTAAGTGTGACTCACATTTCTGAGGGTTAACTAGTCAGTGACCTGAACCTTGGTCTTTCATGCCCATCCCAACCACCTTATGACCTAGGTTAGGCTAAGTGTGACTCACACTTTTGAGAGTTAACAATTAGTCAGTGATCTGAACCTTGGTCTTTCATGCCCATCCCAACTCTCTTCCCCACACTATCCAGATCTTTTGTTTTGTAAGGTACCAAACCTACAATTTTTTTGCAAGTGAGGTCTGGCTGCATTGTTCTGAATAGATAAGTCCTGCCCACAGAGCTGTGCAACCATCTGGAGATTTAATTAGAAAACTGTACAGGAGCTATAAAGTGGAACACCTACAAGAAAGTACAGAACATCCATAAATATATCTTGTGGAAAACCAAAAGAATGCTATCGCAACCAGCTCTCTCATGCGGCGGCATTTTCTTGTTAGAAGACAAAGCCAACACTGGCTTGACTCAGTTGTGTTCCACAAGAGGATCTATACCACACATTAGCCACCAACCTTTGCAAAGAGGCTTTATCATTTAGACTTTAACATTTGTACAATCCTTTCACTGCTGCTGCTGACATTCAATTGTCCGTGATTTGCATGCAAAAAGGCCACCCCCCCACCATGAATATAACCAACTAAGTAGGAGTTGTTAACACACCAGACAGCTGAGGAACAAAACCTAGATGTGGATGAAAGCCAGACTCTCAGATGCTCCATGGACTTGTCTCTTTATGTCAGAAAGATCGGTTACTGAACCAGGAATCAATTACTGAGTCACAGGAAACAGCTGAAAGAGATGGCGGTGTAATAAACCAGTTGACTTTAACCCTTTACAAGAGGCCAAAGACACCAAAAGAGGCAAGCAGTGGCTTCTTGGTCTTAAAGATCACTTGGAGGGTTGGCTCTAAAAAGCCACACAACTAGTTCAGCATGGATCTCCTCTTACTACATCACATCGAAAGCCAGTTCTGAAAAATGAGGGGATTTCAAAAGCACAGGGTAAGGCGATCTGTTTTCAAAGCCAAGAGTCCCACTGGGTACACCCAAGCGCTTGGGTGAATCTCTTGGAATGCAAGACAAAATCCTGAAAGGATGGATCCTTCTTTGGGATGCCACATACCACTGGTAGCTGAGCTTCACACAAGCATGCTCCAGGTTTGAAGTAGCACAAATCTAGTATGCGGCACATGCCTGGAGGGATTTGCTTGTCTCTAGTATACTGAATTGGTAGCAGGCAACTGTAGAGAGGAGAGCAGATCCAGCCATGATTTTACTCTAGCCAGGGGTACTCCTGTCCAGTACTGGACGAACTCCCACTGCAAGCTGGCCACATACACTATGCAGTGAGCCAGAAACATTAAGGACTGGCTAAGCAGTACAACTGGATTTCGTAACAGAGGAAGAAAAAACTGACCTGCCTGCGCACCTTGAAGCAATCCCGACTCTGAGGTAGACAAACAAGTGGCCGATTTAAGCCAAGCTACATAAACAGCTCTGCAAAGCAGCAGTGGCTGAGGAAGTTTCAGTTTCCCCCACTTAGAGGAAAGAAAATACTTGGGATAGGCATCTGTCAGATATTCTAGGATTGTTTCAGCTATACTGCCTGAAGAGAAAGGGAGTCAGGCTGCTTATCCATTAACAAGGAAAGACACCTTCATTCTATCACAAGGGACTGTTTCTGGCTGACACCACTTAACACTGGAGAGGAGAGCCAGTGAACTGTAATGGCTAAGAGCTAGACGATGAGAAGCCACTGACAAAGTCCATAAACACAGCCTCCACCGACAGCTG